CGCCTTCTCCCCTCCCTACGACACCTACCCACGCAACATAACCGCCTACCTCAGCCCCAACCTAACCATTGGCGCGGAATCCTTCTCTGAAAACATCGTCGGCGGCCCGTCTATCAACAAGAACTCGTTCAACCCTGCGGTCGTGCAGTGGAAGAGGCAGGATGGGAGTGTGGGTTGGATGAGTCTATATGCGCAGACTATGGCGCTGGATGTTGTTGTGGAAGAAGGGAGGCTGGTGCTTGAGTACCCGATGGGGAATTCGTCGAGTGCTTTTTCCTTCTTGGTTGGCACGAATGGGTGGGGTGGGAAGAGGGATGTGAGGGGTTGGGGGGATGTGGAGGGTGTTGATGTTGTGGTGGAGGGGTCTGTGGGGTTGGAGCCGGAGGTTACGTTCAACGGACTTGTTGGAGGAGCGGGCGAGGTTTTCAAGTAAGTTCTCCGAAGATCTTTGTGTGTGGGAGTATGCTAACGTGTTGCAGTGACTTTGAGTTTTGGAACTTTACGTATAGGATGCCAGAGGGGAGCGGGGAGGTGCCGCGGGTCCAGTTGGACTTTGACGTCGTGTGGTGAAGTGAAGGATCGTAAACGTCAGACTACATACGTCCCCGATCTTGGCAGCATGTACTATTTCAGAGGCAGATCAAGTGAGCGCATCTATTTCACGAATGCATCCAAGGCTCAAGAAGAAGCATTCACTTCCAAACAACGTGACTTCATTCAAACATTGACTCGTCGTAACACTCAACATGATCAACTCCCTCTTCCAAAGAACAGCTTGGCCTGCCCTTTCTCTACCCCGTCTCCTCTCCCAGCACTGTTTCCCGGTGGCCGTCCCCGCCCTCTGGAAGGTTTCGAACCACTAGCACCTTTTCTTGCAGGGGCCGGCGCAGGATTTCTTTCTTCTTGCCGCATTTCCTTGGATAGATCGAGGGCAAAGTGGTAGTCTTCGTGTTCGGCTTTCTCGGCCGGGGGGAGGTGGAGATTACAGCGTGAGCAAAAGTAAGTTTCTACAGGTCTCTGCGGTACGGATGGTCTGGCACGAGGAACTGGTGTTACTGGGTCGTGATGCTGTTGTGGTGGGGAATGTGACGCGGGCTGGGGTTGAGCCGAGGGAGGTGTGTCCGGTGGATACAAGTCCATGCCTGAACTGTGGCGGTCTAAAGGCGGTGTCGATGCTCGCTGTACATCATCGTCTTGTTGTACCTGAAAAGGATCGAGATCCTCCCCTGTTGCTTCCGCTTCATCTCCACTCTCATCCTTTGTAGATTCGCTATGTGCTTTCCACAACACAGCTCTCGCAGCATCGAAGTCGCTTTTCTTTTCGTCTCTCGGACCGAAGAAATTGGCAATGTTGCCTTTTGTCCTTCTCCGCTTTGTAGGTGGCTCGCCTCCACCGATGGTAGCTCTGCCACTTGACATCATGGCCTTTGCTTCCTCGCCTCGAACGAGGAAGCCGCCAATCCCCTTGTTGTTCGTGATGCCGTCTTCGAAACCTCCGACGCTCAAAGAAAGATTGGCGCAAGGCCACGCTCTTCCATCGACAACGACTTGAGCTAAAAGATTCTTGGCAAGGTCGAACAAGATGGTTTCTGACAGTGGTTTGCCCTGGGGTATCGGTGCTTGTCGACTTCGTGTCTGTGCGCCTTGACGATGATGCAAGTTGATGCTCTTGGGTCTTCTCTTGTTCTCCAGCACACCCTCTTCCACGCACCGTGAGAAGATGTCCGCCACGAAGATGCGTAGCCACCTTACACCCTGCTCGAACGAGTTGATGGCCGGTCTGAAGGATTTGGCCGAAAGCATACTCTTGATCTGTGTACGCGGGTTGACCTCGCTGCTGTCTTCGCCTCTAATGATGGAGTATATCCAACTGCCGGTGTCGTCGCCTAGCTTTTTCAACTGGTCCAATGGCTGTTCCACAAGGTCTTTCACTTTGTCTGTCCCGAACATGGCGACTACTTCGTCTCCCAGTTTGCCTCCCAGCATGCGAATTTTGGTAAACTTCATGTCGGACAGAAAGTGCTTGACAGCGCGATTCCGTATAACGGTTTGTTGATTTGGCTTCTTGTATCCTGAACCTAGTTTCGACAGCATCTTGTTCCTTGCGACGCCTCCCGAGCAGGTGTAGCCCAACGTGTCCTTGATATGTCTCCTCACATCTCTTACGATCTCGGATGCGATGACCATACACACATCGTCCCAGTCTGGGTCTCTGTCTTCTCCATCTTCCTCGCCTGTCTCGACGAGCGCATCGGCCGCCCAGTCCAGCACGGTTGTAGGCACCTTCGGCAGTGGCTCCGTCGGATCGTCGTACGGCGCGGGGCCTCTCAACTCGGGGTATCTCTCGAGCAATATGGTATGCACCTGCGCACTCAGATCCATGAAGACCTCGTCGATACTCGCCTTCTCGACGCGCTGTTCTTTCTCAGGCAGAGTCTCCTTGATACATTTCAGGATCTTGCGACTCTCCATGCGATACGGGTCTAGGCTGACTTTGTGCGTCGCCATGTCCTTGAAGCTGTTCTCATGATATGCCCATGTCTCGTCTCCCTCCTGCCACGTCGCAACGTGTTGCAGTATAAGATCCGGGCATTGCTTCAACGCTTCGGTCGATGTGACGTGTCGGCTGAGTCCGAATGCGCGCGCGGGGTAGTTGATGGCGATCAGGCCCTGCCATTGTTGTACGGCGAGCGGTTTGGAGGGGTCGATGCCGAGGCGGACGGTTTCGCACTGCGCGTAAAATGCATCGAGGTCGACGTGTGCGATCACGCGGAGGGGCGTTTGCGGGCTGTACGTCTTAAGCTGGTGTAGCTGTTTATACGTAAACTTCGACTTGGGGATGCGACGTGGAGAGGTGATGGAGAACTGCGACGAATGAAAGTCCGGCGATGGTGACGACATGCCGAGTGACGGCTCATATCAGAGATTGGGTCGCGTTGGAGGAGGGCGCAATAGAGTCTGCGAGGGTACTAGCCGTGTTGCATAGTGGAACTGAAGAATGCGATGCAGACGCGACACCTGGAAGGCGCGTGTTCCCGCGGTCCCGTGCATGCGCGTCATTCATCCCCGAGATCGCGCTAACCAGATCGGATTCGCTGTTCGATCAACACCATGTCTGCAACCATCAATCAATCTCACCACAAGAATTGTGCTACCACTGGATATGAAACTACGCTGTCGCAATTCAAGGCAAAATCCATGATGGAATATCGACAGCTAAAGTCTATGTCACGGCACGCTCGTGGGATTCTGACATTTTCCGCTGGAGCATGACATTAGCATCATGCAATTCCCAGTGAACACTCAACATTTAGAGGAGCGTGTTGTGACTTCAGCTGTCCAAATTCGAACAGCTGGATGATACGACTGTGCAAATGCGCTGCCTTGACAGTCGAAGAAGATGCATCCCGTAGACGGTAGACGTATATGAACAGGCGAAATATCGCGGATGATCTAAGTCTGACGCGTACCTGAAGATCAAGCCACGGCGTGCTCCAGAGCAGGGTCATATTTCGGTGATTGGCCGCGGAGCCACATTTCGAAAGATAGCAGCCGCAAACCAGCGTGCAGCATGCAAGCACACGCACGCCACATTGCAATCACTGTGACAATACAGAAATGACCCGACAGTCTCAGACGTGGCAAACAAATCCATGAATCTTTTTAGAGTTGCAGCACTGCCATACCAAGGCTCTTGACATAGTCATTGACGTCATGGTGAGCCCTTGATCCAATAGGAACATGCGGCTCAAGCCTCGCGACTACAGCAGGGCGAATACCTAGGGCGTTGCTTTTAATCCAACTGTACTTTGTCTTGTACGGCTTCCTCTGATTCCCATACACACAGTTGCCGTAATCATGATCGCAAAGATGGAAGAGGCTAATGGACATGCGGAGTCTGGTGGAGACGTACCAGTCTATGCAATCGACAATGTACCCATTACCCAAGAGAGGAAACCATACATCCAAGGGAAGAAGTCAAACCTACCACACGCAGGTACGTACCACGGCGCGCACGCTACTACTACGTCGTCTGCTAACCCTCAATAGCGGTCGCACGTGCAAACCTCGCTCCGTCAGAGGAGACACCTCAAGGCAGCACGCAAGACGACTGGGCAAAGAAGCACTCGCACCAAACCGTACTGCAACAACACTGCGACTTCTTTGACCGCGACCACGATGGTATTCTGTGGCCGCAAGACACCTTTGTCGGCTTCTACCGCCTAGGCTGCGGACTCTTCTTCTCCGCCTTCGCCGTACTGGTCATCCACATCAACTTCTCGTATCCCACGTGCTCGGGATGGCTTCCGGACCCCTACTTCCGTCTCTTTCTAAACAATGTGCATAGAGCGCGACACGGTAGTGATACAGGCACTTACGACACCGAGGGGCGGTTTATACCGTCGAAATTCGAAGAGATTTTTACGAAGTACGCGGAGGGACGGGATTATCTGACTGTGGGTGATCTGGTGAATGTGTTGAAGGGGCAGAGGAATATCAACGATCCTATCGGGATGTGTGGATTTATCTTTGAGTGTAAGCACTATTGTTCTCGACAAGTATGAGGGGGAAATGCTAATGTCAAGTAGGGACTGCAACGTATATCACGCTCTGGCCCGAAGACGGTCGGATGATGAAGGTACGCGATATGATAGAACCCATTTTGAGTTGCTGTTGATGCTGACAATATCAAGGAGGACATTCGCGCGGTATACGATGGCAGTATTTTCCAGAGGATCGCCGATAAGCGTGAGAGAAAGATGGAGATGCAGAAGAAGAAGAGCCAATAATGAGCGTCGGCCTCTCCGATAGATCCATAGAGAGGGTCAGTGCATCTGCACAGCACGACTTCGAAAAACGTATGATCAAAGATCAAAAACCCGTTGTTGAACATGTGGCGCTGTCCTGGAGTGTGTAATAGTACCGCTACTAAAGTGTCCAGTCTCACCAACCCGCGCCCAGACATCTGTGGTCCCGAAAGACCGGCCGAACCAAGGCGATCACTGCCACCCAGATTCTATCTTGGCCTTGAGCAGCCCATAGGACAGACTGCTGAACTCTTTCAACAGAGATTCAATCTCTGGTTTCTTCACTAATTCCTTCATGTGACTCGCGATCGTACTAGCGACTACGTTGCGCAGGCCTTTGTCTTCATCGGGCGTAGTCGAGAAGACATAGTGGGCGGCGATGGGAAACTTCGCGCAGTCCCAGCCCTGCCTGCACGCCCTGCGGAATTTCTCGATAACCAAATCTTTTAGTCCTGGCACATCGTATTTGTCGGCGATCTCGTACATCTTAGCATGGACGAGAAGCTGATCGGACGTGCCGGTGATGGTAGGTAGCTGGGATAATGTAGGAGGGAATGGTTTACATTCTCTGCACTGGAACCCGGAACATTTGAAGTTGCAAGCTCCCGTGTTCGTGAAAAGACTGGCTGCGCATGTATGGTGGGGACAGATGGTGGGCTTAAGGCAGTAACCGTTCAACAGCCAGCACGTATGGGGGAGTTCGTAAGTGTAGCAGACCCCCTGCGCGTTCCTTGTTAGGCGAGGACGTGTCGGGACGTTCGGCGGCTTTTCTATCGAGGTGTCGTGTTCTGGTAACTGTGGCTCATACTCGCTTTCGTAGATATACTGGATCAAGAGCTTGATGATTTCAGGCTCATCGTCGGCAAGTTTGATAACATTATCCTGGGTTTCCTAGAAGGCAGTCAGATTTTACTTCAGTTTATTTGCGTCGAACACGAACCTGTCCGCCAAACTCGAGTGCGCGAGCAAAGAAGCTAACGCGCTCGCAGACGACGATCTTGTGGACCTTGTACGTGTTGCTGCCGCAGGTGATGTTGAGATCTGAGTATGCGCCAGACTGGAGGAAGCTGGTAGTGGGTCAGTAAGTTCTCGACATGTTGAATAACGTGAAATTATACCCTTTGAGTGAAGCCAAAGCCTTATCCTGAGGGAACAGCGCCATCTTTGTCGTTGAGCGTGGTTGTGATACTGAGCGAGGTGAGTAAATTGGATCACAGTAATTTGGTTCTTCATTGGGAAGTCGCACCCGGCGCGACTTTCCTCCGGATACAGTCACGCATGGAGCGAAGGTGTAAAGTGAATCGTGGAAGGTACGCGTGTAGAATACAGCCTAGCGCAGGGTGCTTGTCGCGCGCACGTGGAGGACGAGTCTAACACCAAACCCAACAGACCCCAAAGGGGATTTACGTGTCTAGCTTTTCAGTCAGTCAGTTGCTGACACTGATGTACGCATAAATTCATGCGGTCATCGAGCTGAACACCAAATGGAAATCACTGTCGAAATTTCCCGAAATAACATTGAAGTAATGACGTGAACCCTCATAGATGCATTACCATCTGACGCTGCAAAAAGAACATCTAACTAATTATTACTCATCTACAACCTCGCCTCCACCGTCGTCCCTTGCGACTGTTGCTCCTGAGCCTGCCCTTGACCCTTCTCCCGTATCGCCTCCTCGAAGATCTGCATAAACCGCCAAACATCGCTGAAAGTGTTGTACATCGGTACTGGCGCAACACGAATGATGCCTGGTTTCCTCTTGTCGCAGACAACACCGTTCTCCACTAGCGCCGCGCTTGCATCGTCAAAGACATCCTCTGGCAGCAGCACACTCAGCTGCGCGCCGCGGAAGCGGGGATCTGTGGGTGTGATGATCTCGAAGGGGAATTTGCCGTCCTTGATGTTGCGCGCCGCGATCTGAGAGAGGAGGTGCTCAGCGTATGCGGTGAGGAGCAGAGACCGTGATCGCAGATCAGCCATGGAAGTCTTCTCGAAGACGCTGAGCGAGCCGGCTAAGCATGTGAGATCGACGATCGATGGGTTTGAGCATTGGAAACCCTGCGCGCCGGGTGTAGGAACGAACTTGTTGTCCATAAGGAAGCGGGATGACTTGTCGTGGCCGTACCAGCCCTTGAGTCCCTTGTAGTGGTCGTTGTTGCCGTGCTTCTCGTGGATGAAAGCACCAGCAATGGAACCGGCACCGGCGTTCATGTACTTGTACGTGCACCAGCAGGCAAAGTCGACATCCCAGTCGTGTAGCTTGAGCTCGGCGTTGCCTGCAGCGTGCGCTAGATCCCATCCGATGGTGATGTTGTGCTTCCGTGCGTGTGCGGTGATGGTGGGGATGTCGAGTAATTGGCCGCTGTAGTACTGGATACCAGGCAGCATAATGAGAGCCAGCTCATCGACGTTCTCGTCGATCAGCTTAAGGATGTTCTTGGTGGTCATGATGTATCCGTCATCCGGCTCGACCAATAGCATAGACTTCTTGGGGTCAAGACCGTGCCATTCTATTTGCGACTCGATCGCATACCAGTCGCTGGGGAATGGTCGCCACTCGCACATGATCTTGTGCTTCTTCTCTGTCGGCTTGTAGAATGCAGCCATCATCAAGTGCAGGTTGATGGTCAATGTGTTCATCGCGACGATTTCTGAAGGTGATGCGCCGACGATGTCAGCCATCTTCCTTGAGCAGCCGGCAGCCATGTCTTGGTACGGTGTGAGCGGCGAATCCTCGAGGGCGGTGAAATGGCCGCCGACAGCGATGGATCCCCATGTCTTCAGGTATGCGTTCAAGTGCTCGCCAACAGCTTTTGGTTGCAGACCCAAGGAGTTGCCGCAGAAGTAGATGGCCTCGTCGTCTGGTGTTGATGCAGGGTTGGCGGTTTGTGCGTCATCTTTCAGGGTTTTCCGCTTTAGCTGCGCTTTGCTCGGAACAACAAACTCGGGGCGGAACGTCTTGGGGATGTCTGCATGTTGGTCGAGCGAATGCGCAAAGTCTGCTGATTCGGCGTTTGTTGGCCACTGTGGCTTTTGCCCTTGGCGAAGCTGTTGGATTGCGGCAGATGCGTCCATTGTAGCGATGTGCTGTCGGTAAGGGTATGTCTTGGGGAACCAACGAGATACAATGTGATGTACGAAAATGAGGATGCAGATGAACAGACGGCGTCGGACTATATATGCATCACGATCTGGCACTTACGTCTCGAAGCAAGAGGCTTGAGGCTTGCATCAAACTAAGCTTGCACCTTCTTCATTGGGGTGTCGGACTCTCATCCGACATCGCTTCCGTCATTCCGAGCTCGGAAGGCTATCGGAACGCAACCGTGGGTGCGTGTGGATCTCGCTCTTCAGCGCAATAAAGCAGGAATTCGCCGCTACAAGGAAGGACGTACCCTCCCGATATTACTGTGCAACTTTACCGTCGCTACCTTTTCCGCCGCAATGAGCCCTCACAGGATCCCCGTCCTCCCATCACCCGATGCACTCCCTAATTACGGCATCTCAAAGAACGGATTCTTACCTGCCGAGCCACCCCTAAGACGCTTACTGCATGCCTACTATCAGCCATGGGAAAAGATCGTTGAACAACTTCCGAAACTCATAGAGACACAGCAAATACGGCAATGGGTCGATGAATTGCCGGTTCTCGATACGTCGCATCTCTCCAGCGAGGCAGAATGGCAGAGAGCACATTCGATGCTCGCCGTAATAGCGCAGGGCTATATATGGGCAGGTCCCGAGCCATCAGAGGTATGTTAGCATGAATTCGCACTACCATAGAGCCTCCAGTCGCTAACAAAAAAGCTAGCGTCTACCCCCAGCGATCGCTGTGCCATTCCTTAAGACTGCCGAGTATCTTGAGGTACACCCAGTGGCCACATATGCGGCTTTGAACCTATGGAACTGGACACCACTCAACGAAGACGCCGACCTGACGCAACCGGAGAACATGGTGGCACTACACACAGCAACGGGTACTGATGATGAGTCGTGGTTCTTCATCATTTCGAACGCCATGGAAGCGAGAGCAGGCCCATTGATCGAGGCCATGCTTGGCGCTATCGAAGCAGTCGAGACTGATGATGCCGCAACAATCATACACGCCCTGCAATACTTTCGACAAGGAATGCAACGCATTGGCCAGCTCCTGGAACGCATGGACGAGCGGTGTGACCCACAGATGTTCTACCACACCATCCGACCTTTCCTGGCTGGGAGCATGAACATGGCGAGTGCCGGACTACCAAACGGCGTTTTCTACGACGAGGGCAACGGGAAAGGTACATGGCGCGCGTACCGTGGTGGTTCCAACGGCCAGTCTTCGCTGCTGCAGTTCTTCGACGCGGTCCTCTCCGTCGACCATTCGAGGAGTGGCGGCTTTCACGCAGAGATGCGAGGGTACATGCCCGGACCCCATGCCCGCTTTCTTGACGACGTCCAAGCGATCGCAAACATCCGAAGCTACGTCGATAGCCATGCAGATAACGCTGAGCTTCTGACTGCCTTCAATGAAGCCGTCGCGGCGCTCAGCGGCTTCCGCGACAAACACATCGCGTTGGTGACGAGATACATCATCATACCGAGCCGGATGGGAAAACCAACTACCGGACCCAAGAGAAGGGATATCGCTTCCGCTTCGACAGAGCTGGCTACCGAGAAGCCAAAGACGCAAGAGTTGGTTGGGACAGGGGGTACCAAGCTGATACCGTTCCTGAGAACTTCAAGAGACGAGACTAGTGAAACCAAAGTCGTGCATTGAAGTGCCTTTCGAGAAATCTAGAAGACCAAAACTACTCGTGACTCCATCGCATCCATCTCGACCTTAAGAAAAGAAGTCACCGCCCATCTGCTGGTCGTGGATGGGGAATAGTGGTATATCAGCCACGGATACGCCATCAAGGTTGTGAGTGCCTGGCTGGAGGAAATCCTGAAGGCCTTGATCATTCTCACTCGGCCATGGCATGGCAAAGAAGTCGGCATCGTATATAGTCCAATCGAGTGGCGCTGCAGAAGAGACGTTGCGCTGAACAGAGTCTCGGGAGACCAGCGACCCGTGGCCGAGCTGTGCGTCGCATTCGTCAACTTGGGGTGGAATGTTGGTACGCTCTCCTGGCAATAGGCCAAACAATTCCGACGAGGCTTGCTTCCTCTTCCGACGCAAATGCAACTCTCTCTTCTTAGCATGTGCAGTGGTGATCTTGAGCAGCGATTGTGCGACTTGCGAGTATTGCCGCGCATGAGGGTCCACTTGACCGAAGTAGTCCATGCAGGTGATGGCATCTTTGCAGCTGTCCACTAACATAAGTCCCGAGTCCCCAAGGATGCCGACCGCAAGAACAAGTGTAGCCGTGAAGAGCCAGGATCTGATATGTCAGCCTATTCAGTTGGGCAAGGTGGGTTTGCTTACACTATCAGTGGCATCTTACGAGGCAACTGCTTCGTAATCGTCACGACTAGCAATGTGTCCACTAATGTCGACGCAGCATCAAGTGCAGCATCTGCGTACTTGCGCTTCTCTTGATGATCAGCTTGTGAGCTCCCGCTCTTCAGTGGAGCACCCATGTATTCATATAACTCGTAGATGAGGAAAGGTCGGGTGAGTAGCATGATGCCGTAGTAATAGGAGCAGAGCGTGGAGCACGCGCCAACCACGGCTTCTCGAGAATGAGGTCTGGTCGTAAGATGAGATAACTTCTGCAGCCATTTGGACGCCCAGCTCTTCAATTGTCGCGAGACGTAGTCTGCAATGCGTAGTGATATACGTTTGCGAGAATACACTTCAACGACGACACGCTCGATAATCATGAAGATCTGGACGCTGGCATCCAGTATATTGGCATCATCAGTCTCGGTGGTGTCTTCAAAGGTGTTGTATTTGACGGTGCAGTCAACATCTGATGTGGACGGAGGCCGACCCAATGCGTTGCTACATGAAGAAGCAGATATTAGCAGATGCTATCAAAAAGCTGTAAAGACTCCGCAGCTTCGTGCAGCTATCGAGGTGGGAATAGTAGGGATCGCGTCTTACCTGATTAGTTGATCGGTAACGCGAATGCTCTTCCAAATTCGGTCTCGCACCAGCTTAATGGTTTCACCAAAGGATGCGTTCACTTCCGTCCGGTGGATGCCAATTGCGTATGCTGCGCGGGCGGCCAAAGCTGAGGCGCGTTAGCGAATCGTAGAATCTCACTTCGTTCTCTCGTCTGCATACAGAAGTACAAGTAGGCTCCATTTGGTTGAGACGCTCGCAACATGTAGATCGCCACGAGGGCAAAGCCTTGAACAGTCGAAACATTCATGCTGCTGCACATATGCTTCAAAAGCACATCCCGGGCAGTGTTGAACCAGGCTTCTGCCTTTTCCTCGAATCTTTCTTGGGCGCCGATCGCAAGGACCAAGTAGAAGACAGCAGCAGCAGCATCGTCTGAGCTCGAAGTTCTGCTGCTTGCCCATGCTTTCAGCTCGGGAGCGAGATCCTCTCGCTGGAAGAGTTGAACGAGACCACTACTTGCAGCCATAAACTCATCGACTAGTGCGTCAACTTGACGCACATCAATTGGAGGACATGAGGGCTGACCCGCTGACTCAGGCCGAGCGATCTCGATGATGGGGTCGCGGGTGGCTTGGACGGTAGCTCTTGGGTCCACCTCGGATGTGATGAGGTGCCTGACTGTCTGCAGGAACGACAGCGGGGCACAGTCTCCAATGAAGATAGATTTTCCCTGGGCGTCACGGAGGATGCGACCTTCCAGAGGCACCACTGTATCGCCTTGTTGATCATCTCTGCTTAACGTTGGCGAGAGTGATGTTCCGTCCTCGGCAGCTTCACGATCAAGTCTTTGTCGCACAGCGTCGTCCTGTTCATCTCGCTCGCGATTATTAGGTGTATGGCCTGTTGAACGGGGGTGATGACGGTGGATATCGTCGGAACGGACACCGTGAAGGGGAGTGTGACCGGCAGAATGCGCTTGTGGGCGTGCATGGGGACCGCTGAACGTGCAAGTAGCCGCGCGATCCTTTCGAGTGCAATAGGCGCATGGCTGCTCGCCGTCGCACTTTACCTTTCTTTTCTTGCACAGATCGCAGGCCGCTGCGACGCGCTCAAGTCTGCGCCGCTTCTCCGGACGCCTCGTTGCCAGTCCATCTGGTGTTGACATTTCGTGGAATAAGGTCGCGTCAGCTGAGTGCAAATAGTTAGCAATCGGCTACCAAGGCGCGCGGCTGCACTCTGTGGTGAAAGGAAACGCACGACGGAACATCCGATGAAGCTGAAGCATCGGACGGATGCAGGTTTCGGCTGAAGACGGGCTTGTATGGCACTAAATATTAGACCGATGCACAGACGTCATCGCGCGGACTCGTTCCGATCTTCTGTTCAGCATCTTCAATACGCTCATCGGATAGTTCTTTCAACACAAACACAGTTAGATTGAGCAAAATGTATAGCATTGTCATGCCGGCTGATAACCTCGCGAAGAGATATGTGACTGCCTTCAACGCCATAACTTCCAAGAGCGCTTCTCAACGCGTTGCAAGCCTCGCTTCTCAAGCGCACCCTTCTCATGTCCGACGCCAATTGTCCATACCAGCGCGCTCAAGACCTCGCCCTTGACAACCCCGTCTATCTCTCTAAGACCTCTCTCCTCGAATCCCAGCCTCTTCAAAACGTTTGCGCTTGCTGTATTCTCCGGTTTACAAAAGCCGCAAAACTCCTTGTGTCCTTTCTCATCTGTGAAGTACTCCATCAGACCCGCTGCAGCTTCAGTAGCGTACCCGTTCCCGAAATACCGGGGCAGGGAAGTGAACCCGACATCTGGGATTGTTGGTGCGGACGGTTCGGACGGGAAGCGCGCGAGTTGCATGGAAACGATGCCAATTGGCGTTAGTCGTCTCTTTGAGAAAGGGACGTCTTCACCTTCATGTGGTGAGTTGATGCTCAAAGCTGAGTTTTGTCTGAGCGAAACCAGGTAGCGACCATAGCCTGTTTGCTCCATCCTTTCAACATCCTTTGCGATGAACTTCTTCCCAACATCGCGAGGGGACGCGCTCTTTTCTTCCTCAACGTCGACTGCGGGTCTTTGTTCAGTGATGCCTGGGCTAAACACTAGCTCGTATGCGAAATCGCAATGAGCATCGTTCTCAGGGTCAAGGTGGGATATGAAAAGACGAGGTGTCGTTAGGTGGAAGTCAAAGTCAAGCATTTTGTTCAAGGCTGAGAACGCTTATTTGACAGCCAATCTGTGCTATAGACGTTTTCTTTTGAACACGCTGGATCATGGCTGCCTAGAGATACGAAGGTGACTCTCATGGATCGGGTTTAGCCTAAACGTTACTGATCCTTCGCTCCATCACATGATGGCGGGACCTCACGACTTATGCTACAAGGTGTCTTCGCCGGATAAGCAGCGCCAAAGACGATTGATTGGTTGTTCTAACTAGGTATACCATGCTACTGGAAGACAACCGCACAATGTTTGCAAGATTCCGAAAGTCTAAGGAGCTGTCTGCGTCGCAGTGGCCGCAGTCCGCCAATAGGCATGAGCTTGCATAGCCGGGGTGGTTGTCGCAGGAACGTCATCATAACACCTGCCAAACCAGCCCTTCGAGGTGCATGTAGTTGTTGGTGCAGCTGATGTAGTAGTGGTCGTAGCAGTCGTAATAGGACCGGTAGCTGTCGTCTTGTCTTTGCAACCGAACCATCCGGGCTTCGAGAAGTCAGTCATGTACGCACGGTTATGGGTTATAGAACTCACTGTTTGACAGGTACTTGTACTTGTGCTGGTTGCAGTACTTGATACGCTGGTCGATGTCGTTGATACCATCGTAGTAGTCTCATCTCGACATCCCCACCATCCAGGCGTCTTACATGTCTCCGTGCGCGTCCTCGATGATGTGGTACTTGTTGGTGTTGTTGAAGTGCTCGTTGTCGTGGTTTTTGTCCCGTTCTCGAACTTCCATAGGTAGCAATCGACACAACCAACATCCTCTTCTTGGCATGTTGCTGCCTCGTCATACTTCATGTACACATTGTCGATGGCGTACCTCAGGCTATGGGTCTGTGTGTTCTGTCTCCAGCCCCAATCTTTGACCACATCGTATGCACATTTCTTTCCGGTATGGCAAAGCGTTTCGAAGGCGTACCCGCCGATAGAGCAAAAGCTCGTAGCACCGTTGCAAGTTCCCATGTACACAGGGTCAGCGGTATGCCCGAAATGGAAGCCACCTGTGTTCTTCCTAAGTGGAGCAACGTCGCCGGCAGCTGGTAGTCCTAAGCGCTTAGCTGCCAAAGCCTGTGGGTAGGCTTCAAACGTTACCGCAGGGATACCGTGTTGCAAGCCGATTAGAGAAGCGAGGACGCCTCCTAGACTGTGTCCTGTCGTCATAATGTGCGCATTCGGATAGATCTTGGTGACCTCTTGATACAGCTCGACAGTCGCGGCATAGTACCTGTTCGGCTTACGTAACTCGTTTTTGACGCACTGCTCGTCGCAGCTGTAAGTTCCAGTCTGGCAGTCGCATACTTTGCGCCAAAGATATGTGCCGCCCTGGCCGCAACAGCAAGAACCGTACAGATTGTCGTTTTCTTTGTCGTGCACGGACGTCCCGTCGCCTTCAAACATCGCTACTGTCGTTCCCTTTACCGCCAGGATGATGGTGGAGTTAGTGTCGTCGCTGAACACATGACCTCGGATGCCGCTGTCATCCCAGCCGAAAGGAACCGATGAGTTGTAATGCCCATCAACGTCCATCCATCCCGCGTCGTCAGGGCCGACTTTGTAAGCATCCTCGGACATGTTTGCGAAACTGATAACCGTGTTCTTGTCCGTGACATCCGGACCCGGTATATCCTCGGCGATCCACATGGACGACATGGGGATCTGTGCATCGTAGCCACGTAGCGCGGGTCTTTCTATCTTGACTGGTGCCGTCTTGATTGTGAAGGGCCCGATGCGGGAGTCGACACCAGCAACGGCGAATCGCTCTGGAGTCACATCGAACCTTCGTGCTCGTGGTCCAGGTTGCCCAGCGCCGTGATCTAAGAGGTGGCGCAGAGTGAAGCCGTTGGGTCTTGGTGATGTCTTGGTTGTTGTTTCCGCTAAGGCGGTCGGCTCACGGGGGTTGCCATAGCTAGTGTAAGTCCAGAAGATGCAGGCAAGCAACGCGACCTGCGCGAAGACGCCAACGGCGAAGAGAATGGTAGAGGGCCTGCTCCGATGATTAAGAGTCGATGAGTTCGATGGCATGATTTGTGGACATTGCAGAAGAGACAACAGGGCGAGAGACGGGACTGTTATGATAAGCGCGGCGATGGCTGAGTCGCCGCTGCGCACGGGCGTCCATGGCTCGTGACAGAGAGGCTATGCCCGATTCGGTTAGCAGCTCATGCTACGTCACGCGTGCTTCACCCACGCGCACATCTCATCCGACGTGGGTTACTTCACGATTCGCGAACAACGTGAAAGTCATCGAGCAATAACGCGAGACACTTGGAGCGCCTGATGTACCGATAGGCTATGGTTGCATATCAACAATATAGTTCAAGCGGAACGCGTCCCGCCGCTATTGCACCGGCAGCTGGCCCAGGACGATCAATGCACTGCAGCACATAAGCACGGCGCAAATGCCGGTGTGTTTTCTCCAACTCCATCATGTCGACTTTGACCTGACACGCCGGGCTCTGTTGAAAGACCGTACTAGGCGTGATAACACGTCGAATCGCGGCGCGGGCGTTGAGCTCCACTAACCTCGGACCGTTGAGTCCTGGTCTTCCTGTTGAAACATTATCAAGGTGTTGAAGCTTCCTTCTCCATATCATCCCAGCGATCATCGATCATGGCTTTTCCCAAGCCGCTTCTTTATCCCTTGAAAGGTTGCCGGCACAGCGTTCGACAAGCTGATTGCCGCACAAATCGCACCACAAGTCACGGGAATGATATGACTTGTCTTACAACCATCCAGGTAACCTTTCAACACCTGGTCGAGCTCGTTACCCGAGAAAAGCCCGCGGATCTGCGTTGCGCCAGCATCCATTATCTCTTTCGCGTCGAGTTGAGGCAAGTTACGGGCGAGGCTTGAAAGCAGTCCGTTCGTGAATGCCGCTTCACTCGATGCGACTGAGAATACGGTACCAGTATTTTCCATGAAGAGCGACATCGATGTTACAGCGGCCAGGTCGTCAGCAGAGACAAGAGCTTGATTGGCGATCATCGGAATCTGCAGAGCGAGGCCCACACCCGTGGCTGTCAAGAGCTCGAAGCCGACCCAGTCTCTGGTCGGTGTGCTGGCATCTAAGGAGTGTATCTTTATGTTTCCAGCTACAGCCAAGATTGCTCCCACCAAGAAAAAGGGCTTGTAGTGGCGCCAGAAGGTGAGCGTTCCATTAGATATCATGGTGAAGAGTGAGACGCCCATAACGAGTGGAATAAGTCGCACTCCACTTTGCGAAGCCGTGTTGTTGTTGACGGCTTGGAACTGGATCGGCAGTGTATACATGAGCGGAAAGAAGGCGCCCGCGATGAAGGAAGCATATAGTAGATTGGCGAAGACCAGTTTGTTCTTGAACACGCGGGCTTGTACCATCGCGCAGCTCCCCATATAGCGTTCGTTGATCGCAAAGCAGATGAAAAGGCCCACGAAACCGATGAAGCTGCCAATGATACGAGCACTAGTCGGAGGCATGATGCCAATCCAGTGCGTGGCTAGGATGAAGCAAGAGAAGCATCCGGATAGCAAGATGGCGCCGTTAAGATCCAGGTTCAAGAGCTTCTCGCGGAGAGGTACATCCTTGGGCTTTCCTGGGTCATGGAAGCAGAGGAACATCGTGAGCGCGGCAGCGAAGCCGATCGGTAAACTGATCCTGTTTAGTGTCAGCATACCGACCTTGACCTTATAATGCCTCCCTGGTTTCCATTCATATGAAAAACATTTGGTGGAGAGTGTATTGTAGGCGGCAAAGCGGCTTCAACACAAAGCGGGATCACGTACCAAAAGCAATATCGCCATCCAGGGCCGTCTGTTAGAACGCCACCTAGTAGCGGTCCTACGACGCTTGCAGACCCAAAAGTCACACCGAACACACCCATATAGGCGGCCCTATATTGTGGCCCAGCTGTCATTGCGACGATGATGAACGCACCCGTCATAACTCCGCCACCGCCCATGCCGGACACGATCCTCCCGAAGATCAAAACCTCGCTCGTTGGTGCTGTGGCGCATATCACATTGCCAATTTCAAACACTGCAATTGCAGACATGAAGGTGGCTTTGAGGCTGAAGTACTGATAGGCTTTGCCCCACGCGGATTGGAATGCGGTGTTGGTGATTGCGTAGGACGAGCCATACCAGGCCAGGCTGCTGATGCTACGGAATTGCGTGGTGATGCTTGGGATTGCGGTAGCGATGATTGTTGAATCCAAAGCAGCGAGAAAGATGGAGAGGGCGAGGCCGACAGTTATCAAAGCCAAGCGGATACCACGCGGGTATTGAACGGGTGGTGTAGCATCCTCTGGTGGGGTGTCAATCTTGGACGCTGCAAGGTTGGTGAGCTCTACTGGTTCGTCGCTCATGATGTCGTGCCTTGAGGCGATTTCGTCGAAAAATATGATGTTAGAGATGGACATTCGAGATTGCTGGCCGTGTCGGTCATGTAGGGCGTAGTGTCAGCGCTAGGAATCGGAATAGGTCAAGTGTCGGGATAAAAGCTTCCTCGGCAGGTGCTTACACCGAGCCTTGACTAACGGACTACTTCCTTCGCTCTTTGCAGTTCAGCAGGCTTAGCGGAATGAACAATCGATACGTAGCTTCAGAGGTATCAGAGAGGGATTCGCGACGAGTCTGAACTGGCAAGCGATGCAAATGTGGGCTTGTATTGAAGTACGATTGGAATGAATGCGCTGGGGACGACCAGAACTCTGTCATAACGACGTTTGATGTCACAGACGATGCTGTGTAATACTGTACCTAAGTACCACTACTACCGCGTCTATTCTAGTCCGTCCGTACCTGGGTAGGACCGTGTGCTGCGATCGGATGAATCTCGCTCATGACCCACACTATGGATGGCTATACTACTGGCATTTTGTTCTCATCTTTGTGCTCGTGCACGATGTGAGATCTCGCTACTGATGTCCGTGAGGCGTGGATGACCTCGGACGTTGTCGCGATACGTTGTGTCGTCTGTGGGCCCACATCTGGTTACTGATGCAAGCAGTCGGTGCCTGGCATAGGTGCCTAGCTACTACAGACGGCTAAGAGCTTTCACGACCTGGGATTCCATCCGGTATCTTTGGTGGGGTGGATGGGTGTTGATGGTACGGGGGGCTGGTGAGGGTTGGTGGGGATGTTTGGGCTGTCGCTTCCCTGGCTGGCGGCCCGCGGCGCGTCATCGTTCCCAGCAGGCAGGCGCGTGTCGCGTCGAGCTTTCACACCTTCACACCTTGACGCCGCTTCTGCCCTCGAATCCTCAGCGTGCGCGCCAGATTCACGACAAACATCAAGGCTATAACGCCAAGAATAGCGATAATGCATGCGAGTGGAGCCAGGATGGAAAAGAGGGAGAAGACGTACGACGCCATGCCGAACGAGTAGTCGTTTGCGAGAGGCTCTATCGAAAGCCCAACCTGCATCGCGGAGAGCACGATGGTAGTGTATGCGAATAGCGTGATGAGACTGTTGACGTTGTCACGCATGAAGGCTCCATACGTGGTGCAGCCGCTTAGGTACCCGCGCAACTCGCCCATGGTCAAGCGATATACCCAGTTCAGCCGCCCGAGTCGCAATTCGCCGTAGTTGAAGCGTTGGTTGACGCGAGGGCGGTCCTCCAACAAGCTTACAGACGATGCAGCCGACGCATCGATGGTATGCGTCTGTACCGAGGTGCAGACGACCTCGCCAACGAGCGCCAGCCACCCAGACCAAGTGACCTCCTTAGGGATGAGGCCGTGGTTGATGGCTAGATTGTAGTCAACCTCCCTTTCGATGAGCGCGACATACGACAGCATGAAGCCCAGTGCCGTCTCGTACAGGTGCCGACGTGGGCAGATCTCCGTGACCCAGAAGTTTGGGCAGAGAAGGAAGCGAGGCAGCGGTTTGAGGAGAATCGACGACGAAGGCGCTGATGACCAAACAAGATGCAGATCCAACTGTTCCGTCACCACAATTTCCCGTTTCTTGACCACTTGGTAATGAAGAGGTCGCGGCGCGCTTGGAAGGCCCACAAGCCATAGCCATTTGTGGACTTCGTTCAGTCGGCGGACATTCAGCTCGATATCCAAGAACGCGCCGATGTTGTTGCTGACGGGCTCAATTTTATAATTTCTCCGGTATGTTGCTGGCAGCAACGGAACCTCTGGCCCTGAACTACCATCCGAGCTCTCAGTCTTTAGCAGAGCCGTGCGGAACGGCACTGGGTATTTCATCGTTTGCTACACGGTATTAGCATGTTATCGGATGCTCACAGGGCTGCTACTGACCTCGCAGCAGTCAATCATTGTACGAAGAACACGGTTCTCGCCGGAGGGGAATGCGACAGCAAGAGAGAGCTGGAGTTCGTCGCCCAGCGTACTGGCGAGCCTCTACCCCGGTCTCGCGCCATCACGAACAGCGCCAGACGATCGATACTCGGCAATCAATACAGTTGTGATCAAGCGGCTGCGCGCCATCTCACGCGTCTTACCCTTTTCGGTAATTTGGCCCCCAACATAAGCGGCCCCCAAAGTCTCCAAGGAAATCCACATGCAGGGGGTGAAGCCATCAGCGAAAACGCGGCGCTCTCCAAACTTAGAGCGCATACCTCACGAGATGGTTTTAACATTACGCTGTAGCCTTTAGTTGCCAGTTTGCAGCGCGGGTTTGCTACAGCACCACGATTCGCGATGGCTTCGGCCACCAAGGTCCAGCATTCGAAGTTCGATGCACAGGTTAGTGTTCTGCTCACACTCGGTTTTCTACATGTTTACAAGCACAGTCTTTCAACCCCGGACTGAACGTTGTCTACCCTAGTGATGAGCAGACAACGTCAAAGTTCTCGGCCAAAATCGAGTAGGTGGCTGGAAGTCCAACGCGAGAATCAAAAGCTAATAACTTCGAGGATCATCGCCATTCCAGGCTTGGGAGCGGACCCCGAATATACATGGAAGAAGAGCAAAGTGCATTGGCTTCGCGATGCCAATATGCTCCCGAAGAAGATTCCACATGCCAAGATTAGCGTTTTCCAGTATCAGTCGCAGTGGTTCGGAAAAGGATCGGTCGACGAACGCATCGACAATGTCGCGAACAAACTACTACATAGCCTCGATAGGTCACGAGTGGTGAGTTAGTACGTACTCGTGATGACTACATGCTAACAATGTATTGGAGAACCAAACCAAAACGCCCATCATCTTCATCTCACATTGTCTTGGGGGCATCATTCTCGAGAAGGCCCTGCTCATGTCAAGATCGCGCCAAACAGAATTTCCCAACGTGTATCCTTGGATCGCTGGATGCTTCTTCCTCGGTACACCTTTTCACGGCACGTCAAGCCAGTCCAAGGCAATGGTTCTAGCATCCATGGCTGAAGTCGCCGGCTGGGGTACGCCGTCTAGTCTACTCAAGGTCTTAGAAAAAGACTCGGAGATCTTGCGCAGTCTACTCTCCGAGTTCTCTTATATGGCGCGAGAAGCTCAGTTTCGGCTACTTTGCTTCTGGGAAGAGAACGATAGCGATTTGGTCAACTATCTCGTGAAAGGAATCACATGGCTGAAAAGCAAAGAGCGCATTGTTGACCAATCTTCGGCAACAATCGAATCATTCGACAGCATCTCTCTCATGTCGGATCATTTCCAACTCAACAAGTTCCCTGGGCCAAAGGATGGTAACTTCACTTCCGTCTCTGATGAGATCCGTGAGACAGCCAACAAGGCGGATAGCATCATTAAGACGCGTCAGAACATGCTTCGACAATCTCAAGTCGATGATCGCACCTACCACAGCATGATGGATGCGCTCGGCAAAGGATTCGCCGACGTAGAAGCCGCCGTAAAGGGCACCTACACAGGAGCGAAGGGCACGAAGTCATCATCAGTGTTGGAAATCGAAAACTTTCAGACCTGGAAGAACTCGAACGCAAGTCCCATCCTTTGGATCCATGGAAAGGCTGGTACGGGCCAAGGTGCGATCGCATCTTCTGCTCTTGAACTTCTCCGAAATGCACAAGCAAACAACTCTATGATCATATCGTTCTTTTGCGACCAGGGTGACACGATGCGACGATCGCTGAAAGGTCTTCTGCAAATGGCTGTCCGCCAGATGATCGACATGGACCAAGATCTTGCCCGACACCTGCTTTCAGATTCTCGGAGCAGCAAAGACGCTGGAAAGCAAAGCTTTGACACTGAAGAGATACTCAAGGTGCCTGCTTTATGGATAGCACTACATAAGATGGCGCGGGATCTGCCTAACACTAAGATCTACATCGTGGTGTATGGTGTGGAGCAGCTTGCGGAAGAATCGTTGGAACAATTCTTGCGGTACATGTCAGAGACGCTAGAGACCGAGGGTACGACAAACGATGAAGAGGAGTGTCAACCCGTTAGATGGCTGCTTCTCAATCGCAGCGGGCGCCCGAACATCGAGAAATGCTTGAGACCGCGATCGTTGGAGATCAATCTGAGCGACGCAGAGAACTCTGCGCAGATTAGTGACGACCTCAAAGCGCACATATCAAACAGCGTCGACGAGCTGGATCTTCCAAGGTCTTTGGCATATTTCGTGAAGCGCCACATCTACTCGCGCGCGGAAGACAACTGGATCTACGTTAGTCTAGTCGTACAAGAAGTCAAGAATGCGTGGGTCCCCGGATCTACACAGCACGCACAGATCCGAAGACTGTTGGAGTCATTTCCGTATGGTCTGACCGACATGTTTGAGCACGTGCGAAAGCGCGTCCTAAATCCACAAGCGGAGGGCCATGAATACACGAAAGAGATATTGCGTTGCAGAATCTCGGCGTATGTAGCGCCCACCATGCGCGAGCTTGCGATCATGGCCGAGCTACCTCAGCAACATCGCAACGATGTGGACAAGCTGAAAGCATACATAGTTCGCTGTGGTGCATTCTTCACCTTGAGAGGTAACGACTGGGATCTGGATAACAGCACTGTCGAATGGATTGATATCTCCGCACAGGAACATCTCCGACAGTATGCAAAGAACGACTTATCTCTGGATCTCGACGATGTTCAGCATGGCATCATCGCGTTGCGTTCGTTGGAGTATATATACGACGCCGTCAAACATCAAGACATTGCAGAACACGAGCTAGAGGACGAAAACGAAGATCAAGAGGAAGAAAAAGAGGAAGAAGAGCCAGCGGAGGATCTTGAGGTCGAAGCAGAGGAGGCGACCGATACGACCGAAGCCGACAGCAAGTCAGTACACGATAGCGCCAGCCAACAAAGCGAACAGGACGAAAATGACCAACAGGACGAAGACGATGAAGACGAAGAAGAAGACGAGGCTGATTCATCCTCGGTTGGAGAAGAAAATCAAGACGAAGGTCTGCTAGACGTTGATCTACGATATCCTGTTCGGTACTGGGTGGAACATGCGAAGCGAGCACCACCGGATGTGCTCGAAGAGATTGACTTCGACCACTCGTTCTGGCAAGAAGCCTCTGACGCTCGTCAAAGATGGTGGAAGACCATAGAAGAAGTTCACAACATGACAGATCAAAAAGACGTATCGCCACTCCATGTCGCCGTAATCCTCGAGTTCCCTGCTTTAGTCGACCACATCCTGAGCCACAGGGAGACGGTGGATGTCCACTTACAAGACTCACTGGGTTTCCAGCCTCTGTATTACGCATGCGATGGTGGCTGTGGAGAGATTGTCAATGCGCTACTGGGAGCAGGTGCTGACATTGACTTTTCGAGCAGCAGCGCCAACCCTACGGCGCTGCATGCTGCGTCAAGGAACGGCCACTACGATGTTGTCAGCACTTTACTCGACCGCGAGGCCGATGTGAACGCCTCGTCGTCAGACCATGGAACAGCGCTTTACGCGGCTGCGGGCAACCTCGAAAATCGCGTCGTGAAGCTTCTGCTCGACCGCAACGCCGATGTCAACGTCATTGGTGGCCCTGGCCGAAGAGCGCTGAATGTGGCCGCATTCTCAGGCAATACTGAAGCTGTTCGCCTATTGATCGAGAGAGGCGCTAGTATTGACCCCAACGAAGAGTACTTCTACGGGTCTGCACTTGGTGCCGCCGCCCGTCGTGGACATGCTGATGTTGTCCGTCACCTCTTGTCACAGTCGTGGAATCTGAGCCGACCGATGAAGACCTATGGAAGCTTCTTGAACGCAGCTGCTACCTACAACCATCTGGAAGTCTTCGAGATCTTGCTCGAGAAAGAGGAGCGCGTTCTCGTGCTCGAACAGGCATTGCAAGCTGCTGCGCAACGGGGCTACGATGCCATTGTCAAGGCCGTTCTGGAAAAAGAATCCAAAGTACCGTCGTGCATCATCAGGTACCAGAGAGCGTTTTCTTTGGCCGCCTTCTACGGTAGAACGGAAGTGCTCAAGTTACTTCATCCAAAGGGAATCGATCAAACGCAGCTAGACGAGGCCCTGTATCAGGCTACCGACAACGAGCATCTGGAGACCGTGAAGCTGCTTCTCGACTTTGGCGCCAACCCAGATACGGAAGGGCCTACGTATGGCTTTGCGTTAGCCGCCAGTGCATACGACGGTACAGCAGACATCATGAAGGCTCTTCTTGATAAAGGCGCGAACGTCAACAAACGCGGTGGAGATTACGGCACATGCATCCAGGCCGCTGCATGGCATGGTGATGCCGACAACGTTCGACTGCTACTTGAGCGCGGAGCCGAGCTCAACACTGAACCAATTGGTTATTACGGCACCGAGCTGCAAGCTGCTGTTCATACTGGCGATGAAGACACCATTCGCCTTCTTATCGAAGAAGGAGCTGATGTGAACGCATTTGGAGGGCACTTCTCGTATGCCATTGTTGCTGCGGTAGAGCAAGGCGACAGCACTGCAACCAAGATTCTGTTTGAACATGGTGCTAATGTCAACGTACGCGGAGGAGAGGATAATTGGCCAGTGATTTCATTGGCAGCATCTACATTGCTCACTGAAAATCTGGAGCTCCTCTTGCAGAACGTCAACGACATCGATGCAGCCTGCGCTAGAGGTACAACAGCTTTGATCAACTGCGCCGACTCATGCGATGCAGATGGGCTGAGATTTCTCCTCTCTCATAACGCCGACGTGCACATTTCAAGCGACAAGTACGGTACAGCACTCCACGCCGCAGCGTAAGTTCAAGCAGCCCTAATCATGTTCAAAGAGACTAATTTCTACACAGGGGCGAAGGCGATGAGGAATGTTGCGAGGTATTGCTCCAAGCTGGCGCGGATGTCAACGCTGTTGGTGGGCCATATGGAACGCCGCTGCAAGCTGCTGCATGGGCCGAGGATATGGAAAGTGTCCAAGTCCTACTGAAAGCCGGTGCCGACATTAGCATCACGGAGCCCATATCCGGCGAGTATGGTTCGGCTCTACAGGCCGCTTGTGCTGCTGGCTCATTCGATATCGTCAAAGAGCTGTTACAGCATGGTGCGGCTGTCAACATCCGGCCAGCGAATGGAAAATTTGGCGGTGCACTCTCTGCAGCCGCTGCCGGCGGGTTCGATAAGCTTGTAAAGCTTCTCATCAAACATCACGCCGATGTGAACGCTAGTGGTGGCCTACATGGCTTCCCTATCCTGGCTGCCGCTCAGTCTGGCGTCTTACCTGTCGTGCAGCGCTTACTCGACAACGGTGCCAATGCTTCAGCGCTAGGAGGCATACTTGGCTCCACTGTAGCTGCTGCAGCTTACGGGAACGACTTGGAAATTATGCGGTTGCTGATAGAACATGGGGCCGATGTACATGCAAAGGGGGGGAAGTATGGCGATGCCCTACAAACAGCAGCGATGAAAGCCGATATGGCCATCATTGAGGAACTTCTCGACCGGGCCATCGAACTCGTTAATCATCACGATGGCAAATATCATACCGCTCTCGTAGCCGCCTCATACTTCAACCGCATGGAGGTGGTTGTCAAGCTACTTGATGCTGGAGCAGACTTTCGGGTTCAGGGCGGAATGTACCGAAGTGCTATCTCCGCGGCTGCCATACGAGGTAACAAGACTATTCTGGACAAGTTTCTCGCGATGAAACCTCCGGATCACCTCTTGGATGAAGCGTTCGTTGAAGCTTGCGCTTATCGTCAATCAGCTTGTGTCGACGTTTTACTGAAGGCTGGCGCCAATGTCTACGCACGACATCCGAATCGAGGGTCTGCAACCGAAGCACTTGATATATCGGAAGAAGAGGATGAAAATTCCGATCTGGATGATGACGATGATGAGGACGAGGAAGAAGATTCCGATGATGAAGAGGAGGAAGAGACTGATGATGACGAATGGGAAGGTGACGACATCTCCGTGGCCGGACAGACCGATGCAGGCAGTGTCACCGACGTGGAACTGGAAGAAGAGTTGCCGGAAGAGGCCAAGATACGAAAACTGTTGAGAGAGGCACAGGATCGCTGCAAACGCAACCCAACAGTGAAGCGGTTTAGGACCGTGAAGCATCAGGAGATTCCGCCAAGCCTCAGCGTTGGGATAAACCGTCGTCGTCCAGTACCACCATTACCCTCGCAAGCAGTGCGCGAATCAACCACACACAGCGATGAAAAGGAAGTTATACCGCCGCATAGTCAGCACTCTCAGGAAACCTGGAGTATGCCTTTCCACCTCAGATCAGGAATGATAGACGCTGCGCCGGTTCAACATGCTCAACCAGCGCCAGAGGTTCCATTCTCCTCGTACGCAAGCAATCCGGCTTCTGGACCTGCTGCAGGCAAAGTCCAATCTCCGCCATTATCGTCCGAACGAATGCGATCGTCCATCGATGACCGACAACGGCAAGACTCGGCCTCTTCCTTGCCATCACAAAGACACAGCTCGATTGGATCGATAGCTAGTGTTTCGCAGCTTGACAGCACGACGATGAGAAAGGGTAGTGCAGACCACGGACTCAAGAGAAACAGCAAGGCTGTGAATCGCAAGTCAGTCGCAAATCTGGAAGCAGTCAATCGGTACCACCAGCAGCGGCAGTCAAGCTACTCAAAGCCCACACCACCGCTAGACCGATCGATCTCAGAACGCGACTACGCTGCTCAAGGTCATCAGACAGCATCTTCACCACAGTATGGATCACCTCAAATTACACCACAGGTCAATAACCCTAGTGCTATAAATCAATCATACCCACCGCCACTTCCACATCGGCAGTCACAGCAGTTCAATCAGGCGCAACCGTGGATGTATCCAGGTCCATCGCAGGCACCCCAGCAACAGTACTTGCCGTATACATCGCCGCCGCTCCCTCCAGCACAGCAATCATACATGCCTTATTCGCATACAAGTGCAGCTTCTTCTCCGGCTTCGAGGCCGAGCAGTCAGTATACGAATACAGGTAGCCAGTATGCACCCTGGGATACGCCGAACTCGAGTACAACTACGTTCAGCAATGCGCAGGGTCAGGGTGAGGTACAAGGAAGGAGATGGGCTAGTGGTGGGTATGAAGGGCAGGGATATGGATGAATGATAACCATGACACGAGCACCGCGAGGATTTGTAGCGATGCCTAGTTTTGAAATCATGCGTTTGGTGTTGTTCTCTTGACGAAGCCTGAACATGATCGAATTCTTCCTCGGTATCCAGTGTCTGACCAACAATCACCTAATCCACTTTCCCTTCTTTGATCAACGCACTCAACGTCTCATTCCCCACCGTCCACTCCGCAAATTCCTCTCCATACTTCTCCACCAACAAATCACTTACCATGCGCGCAAACACCACCTCACCCCACGGATTCAAATGTGTACGATCATTCCCTGTGGTGCCATTCTCACCCCAATTATACGTGTCCGCGCCCTTCTGTCCAATCGCATTCACATACGCGGTGGATGCTTTATTCAGATCTACAAAGTGCAAATCGTTCGACTCGGCGACGTCTAGTGTGATGGCTGTTTCGTTCGACAGGTTCTCAATAACGCGGTTCGTGGTTGTGTTGAATGTGCGACGCGTAAGGGGAGAGAGGAGGATGGGCGTTGCGCCCGCTTGCTCGACTTCGGATGCGAAGGTTGCGAGATTTGTGCGGTAGTCTGTTAGGGAGACGCCCGAGGTGGGCTTTTGGTCGTTGTGGCCGAACTGATGACAGTTAGTCATGTTGACTCACTTCCCATTCTTGCGGTGTTGTACCTGAATCGTCACATACACCCGGTAGTCCTCCTTGTACGTGCCGATGTCTCTGGTCACATTGGCCCAGTCGCCGCCGGCACGGAAAGATCGCGTTGTCGCACCGCTGTGTCCGTAGTTGTGCCCTGAGGAGCCGCTCGCGACGGTTGTGGAGAGGAAAGCGTCGCCCCAGCCGCCGTTGGTGGCGGTCGTTGAGTCGCCGGCTAGGAGCCAGTATATGGGTTTCGTGGCTTGTCGGTGGAGTATGGTTGGCGCTGCGAGCGCGAGAGGAAGGAGGGAGAGGAGTGTTGTGCGCATATTGAAGATGCTCGATTGTCTAATGGGGTGCTACTATAGGTCCTAGAGTGTGAGCTTGATCCAGTACATATGTACGGCGTTAGCAGTGTGACAGCTATACCGCGCTCAGCCGTTGCGCCGGCGGAATGGAGGACATAGATCTTGCAGATTTGGGGTGCCATATTGCATCTTCGCTTTCCCCGAAGCAGCTCTACATGCGCTCGTGATGCGCGGAAGCATGGCCAGAAAGCGAGTGGTGGTGGCAGATCTTCGGGGAGTTAGGATGAATCGTAAAGGAGTTGCGGGGTGCGGCGCTAATCGTCAGGTACCTCGCGATAATGCTGCCCGAGTTGCTTCATGCCGCCATGAGCAGGACACGACAACCAACGTATTGCGCGACTCTTTCTACTCGTGTCGCATGCTGTAGCTGGTGATGCGGAAGGTCTTTGGGGCGGGGAAAACATGTGCATCAGAGTCTCGCCGGGACGGACGCAAACGATTATGCGCTCCCGATCAGATCCGCCATGCTAGGCGGCAGCGAAAGTCAAAGGTTTGCTGATGCCGCATGGCTATGGGTATCTCAAACGACGCCTAGAATACATTTAGATTGATTCAAAGTCAAATCGGCACTGTTATGTCGAACTTTTCTGACTATGCCGCGGCCGTTCTCCCGCCCGCCCACCTCCTGGCTTACTCGACACTGCTCGGAACTGAGCTATACCAGACTTTCGTAATGACAAAAGTCGCCTATCAAGCCCTTCCCAGATCCGCATTCACGACTCTGCAGAAGCGTGTCTTTCCCATATACTTCCAAAGCCAGTCGATCCTGTTGCTCGTCGTCGCTGCAACACTTCCGCCTCATGGGCCACTTTCCTTGCTTGCAGACAAGAGTGACTGGATTGCTTTCGCCGTTGCTGGCGTTACTGCTGGGTTCAATTTGGTTGCTTTTGGCCCAAGGACTCAGGACTTGATGGTAGCAAGGGTCCATCAAGGTGAGCATGCACAAACCTTGGAAATGTCGTTGGTGGCTGATTGGTACACAAGCAACTCGCGATAGTAAGTCGCAGCTCAACGGAGCCATTAGCGACGACATGAAGGCTCTCAATCGAACGTTTTCTAGGGCTCATGCGATGAGCATTCATTTGAATCTCATCACGATTGGTGCAACCCTTTGGTACGGCTGGCGATTGGCGTCAAAGTTGCAATTGTAGATTAACTGGAATTCGTCTCAAATCGTACGGGGAGCATCTGAACAATCCAAGCGCGGGAAGTTGATATCTCCTTAAGTAGTCGTTTGATGCAAATGAGCCTAGAGTAGCAAAGACAATGTTCGTTCCCCTAGATGTTAGCGTCGATGAGTAATTCAGGCGACCGGAGCGGATGTCAACGATCGTTCCGTCCCGTTCTTGGTGAGGCTTTTGCCCTCCTTCCGCACCTGCATCCATCCTGCGCCATCGCATCGGATGGAAGACACTGAAGAACCTTCCGCTACGAGAGCGGGTGCACCGCGAACAACACAGGCATGTCAACGGTGCCGGAACCTGAAGACGCGATGTTTGCCGAGCGCCCAACCTGGACTATGCCAAAGGTACACTGACCAATCAGCGCGTCGATTCTTTAGCCGTGGCTCCACACCACAGTCTTGCTGCGAAGATACTAACCGTGCCCCAGATGTTTCTCTGCCGGCAAAGAGTGTGCTTGGGCCGAGGCGCCACGTAGAGCGAGGAAGCAGCGCGCGCCCTCGTAAGTCGTCGCCCATCTTGTTCGATCTTGACTAATCATTTTTATAGCCGGATCGCGCAGGTTGAGCAAAAGCTCGATGGTCTTGTAGCCAAGCTCGTCCACGCGCCTGAAAGTGAAGTCACCACAGGTTCAGCATGTGGATCGCAGCCAACTCCTGGAGAGACGGCAGCGGAACGTTGGCGGAATCGTGGATTTGCCAATGTGGCGCCGGGTAGCTGGATGCCTACACCATCTTACGAGCCGAACGCTGTGCAATCCGATAAAAGTGCCGAAGATGGATCCGCGAGTGCTGAAGTCGATCGACAATATCTTGAAGACATCCGCAGCATACACAGATTCGACGATCGTGAAGATGTTTCGAACCCTCCTGAGGGCCTCTTCAAGAACTCAAAACGCCCCGAAGCTCCAATCGAGCACGATGTCGTCGATTTCTTATTTGTATCTGGTGAAGCAGAAACTCTCTTAGATGAGTATCGTAACATGTCGGCAACATTTCCTTTCGTTATGATACCGCCGCAGATCACTGCCAAACAGCTGCACGAGCACAGACCGATGCTCTCACTTGCGGTGCTTCTGGTGGCATCATGGAGACATCACAAACGCCAGATGACACTCGATGGTATCTTCCGCACGGAACTCGCCAACAGAACATTCATAAACCCCCACAAAACCTTGGGCCTAGTCCAAAGCGTATTAGTGTATCTCTCATGGTAGGATGGTACCCATCGTTGCCGAAGATGTACTAACCCGTGCAGGTACCACTTTGTCTTCAGCCACAAGACACAGCAGATCTTCTTCTTGCACAATGTCGTGGTAGGTTTGGCCCTAGACATTGGCCTACACCAAGATTACCAGGGTTTGGGCTTTTCAATAATGCCGAAACGACCTAAAGCTCCGCCGCCACCTGCTATAGAACTGCGCGAAAGGCGCCGCGCGTTCTTGGGTTGTTACTATCTTTCTTCCATGTCAGTGCTTTCGTTGTCAGACCGTGAATTCGCATGTTGACTCAACCAGGGTTGCGGCAGGTTTGCAGAAGCCGAATTTGCTCAAACATTCTCTAGTTATGACCGAGTGGGCACAAAGCCTGAAGCAAGATCACGAGTACGAAACCGATGAGACTATCGGCCTCCTGATATCTCTACGTCAGATTGACGACCAAGTACAAGACGAGTTATTCACTGCCGATACTTCGCAGCTGCCGATATCGGATGGACGAGCGTTGATGCACGTTCGATTCATAGATGTACAACTCGACACATGGAAATGGGGGTGCAACGATGTAGCCTCGCAAAGACTACTCGAGCTCTCTTTTGCATACGCCAAAATGCAACTACACAGCGTAGCTCTTCGTCCGTCACCCTCAGAGTTGCCCGCATCGGCACGTTCGTCACAGATCAACAGCCTGCTCTCCGCTCTTGAGGCTAGCAAGCTCTTTTTGGATACCTTGCTTTCATATCCAGCCCACGAATACCACCTGATCTCGTTCTCGGAATGGATGCGTTTACCACCAGTCATCATGACAGTCGCAAAACTATGCATCCCCACCGAAGACCATGCTGCCATCGGGTGGGATACTCAAGCCGCCCAAGAGCGAGTGCGCCTGGATCTCTGCCTCGAGTCACTTTGCTATCGGATGCAGACTCTATCGACATATGAGAGGCCAAAGCGACCTCATCCCGACTTCTGGTACGCGATGGGGATGATTACTGAACTGACGAAGAATTGGTACATTCGTAAGATTCGACCGGAGGCCCCTAGCCAGACAGCTGCAGTACCCACGCCCAGCGACTCAGTCGAGCGGGGTTTTAGCGAAACCTCGTGTCCCATCACCAGTGCACCCACAATGTGTCCTACAAGACACACGGAACATCAATACAACATGCCAACGGGCACCAACCATATGGAAGACATCAACATAGACATGCACCCTGAGATCGGGGCTGGCAGTGATCCCTTCGCGTTCATGAAGAGTCCTGACTTCGATATGAGCCAATTCTTCGACACGGCAGGAGGCATTTGGGGGGATGAAAGCTTCAATAACTATACTGACATGGCCTTTGGAAATGGAACACAGTTCTAATTCCCATGCTTGACTGTCGAATATTTGCCATGGGCAGTCACGCGCAATGTTTTCGCAACATCTTGACACACTGCAAGACGTCGCATCGCGCCATTGCGCTGCTGTCGTTACAGATCACTTGTATGCGAGCTCGTGGGCATGCCTCGAGGCCTTTCACCCTAGCATGTGAATCAGACTGCCGATCTCGCACTGTACAAAGCAGCTTCTTCCGGATTGTACAATAGCCGTTTACTTTGAGGGCATACGGTTTTGACGCGTTTCCAGCATATTGACGTGGCATATAACACGAATTTCCAGTTGTTTCGGGTGTTAGAAAGGCGTCGGAACGAACACAACGCGGGAAAACAGTCTTCTTCGAATGTACATTATCGCAAAGCATCGCGTACTTCCGCTTACCGCTCATTAATACCTTCCTTTACGACACTAACCCGCCCACCGGGCGCCGTCCAATACCAGTCCCAAGATACCACGCACACTGCACCCCGCGTTTTTGGTGTCAGATTCAGATGCCACGAGCCCGCCACGCGTGGTTTGAAAGTCGATTTCTCCTCCATCGGGCCGCGACATGGTGGTGTCGCTTGTGAAAATGTGATTGGTTGCTAACGCGAAATTGTTGACGTTAGGCCGGCGCGCGAGTCGGCGATCGCAACAGGTTTGCACGTGCCTTGATCGCCCTGGAATCTCGTCGCATGTGTGACATCAGCTGGACCCTGCATTCACGCCTTGAAATTTAGGACATTGGCGCGTTCAGTGCATTGACTATAACTGGACGTGGATATATCTTGTGTGACGTACTCGCGGTTTGCGCAATTACAACATTGTTGATATTCGCTGCTTTCCTTATCTTTTTCTTGCAGCTCACATTATACCTACTTCTACCGTCGCATTTCTTCATCATTGTACCCGGAACTGATCTCGAACTTTACCATGAAATCGTTCAAGAGCTTCGTCAACAAGCGCCGCCAGAGCTGGCAAAATCGGGGCAAGCAGGAGAATAATCCGGCACCGGCACCACCCGCTTCCACTCCCGCCGACGCCGACGCCGGCAACGAGAAGCGCGCAGCAGCTCCACAAGCCAACAACGAACATCAACAAGTACTAGCTGAGGCCGCACCTGGCACTCTTCAGTTGGCCCTACAGAACAAGTCCAACTCCGACAATGTATACTGCTACATCACCGGCCTTGCTCTCGAGCGAAATAACACCCCTCTCTTTGTGCAAGCAGACGGCCAGTCCATTTACTACCCGGTAGCCCCTAAGGATATCCAACAGCCACTCCAAGCCGATGTCGCCATTCCACTTGGCCGTCCCGGTAACACCGTCAACGTCAGGATCCCCAAGATCGCCGGCGGTCGTATCTGGTTCAGCATCGGCGCAAAGCTCACCTTCCTCCTCAACCCAGGCCCTGCAGTCGTCGAGCCCAGCGTGACCAACCCAAGCGACCCCAACTTCAACATCAACTGGACGTTCTGCGAGTTCACATACAACGACGCGCAGCTGTTCGCCAACATCAGCTATGTCGACTTTGTCAGCATTCCTGTCGCCCTCAGCTTGACCAGCGCCGATGGCAAGACCCAAACAGTGCCTGGAATGGGCGCCGATGGCTTCCGGAGGATCATGGAGGAGCTGCGCGCGCAGGCCCAACGTGACGGTCGACCGTGGGATAAGCTCATCTACGAGGCCAACGGGCAGCCATTGCGCGTACTGAGCCCGAACAATCTGCTTGTTGGCAATGAAAATGCGTGGGGCGACTACTGGAACGGCTACATCCAGGCTGTGTGGAACAAGTACCGCAACGAAGACATGACCATCAACACCCAGGCCGCTGCCGGCAACCTCAAGGGCCGCGTCAAAGGCGACGAGCTCGAACTAGGCGAGGCAGGCAAGTTCGCTGCTCCGTCTGCTAGGGACATCTTCACCTGCAGCACAGGGCCCTTTGCAACTGGATCAAACCAAGCGCGTAACGCGGTCATCCCGCGTCTCGCTGCGGCCTTCAACCGTAGTATCTTGCTTAACACGCCTGGCAACCAGTTCCCCAACGGCAGCAACCCAAGCCAGTACTACAAGGACCCGACAACAAACCACTACTCGCGTATTGTGCATCAGATGCAGAAAGATGGGCGTGGCTATGCTTTCCCATATGATGATGTTGTTCCAGATGGTGGTCAGGATGTGGCAGGCACGATCTTTGCTGGTAGCCCAACGTTGTTTACTATCGCTGTTGGTGGGCAGTAGGTAGCTACTGTAGATGCGAGTGTGGGAGAAGGCGGATGGTATACTTACGATGTGATGAGTAGATATTTCTCGAGTTTCTGTATATGCTTATTCGTGGATGTTGCATGATGGGTGGATCTGGGAGAGATCGGGTACATAGTTGGCTTTGGTATATACTTGATGATTAATGAAGTTTGCATCGTTGCTCTATTCGATATCGAAACAACATCGTGAGGGCGGTGGGCTCGTAGTGCGCATGCCCAGGTGTCCAGTGTGAGGGCTAGGTCTGCCCTGCCTGTCACATGAGTGCATGGGTCGTATCAATGACGTCATCAGTCCAGCCATCTCAGGGGACAGTCGTACCAGCCTCTTTCACCCACACGCGACGCGACAATGCCACGTTATCTTCGCCGAACACAAAACCGACTAACGATGAAAACAAAGCTCATCTTAGCTAGGTAGAATGCCACATAAAGACTCGGTTTGCGCGACCACGTGACGTCATCAAAATCATTGAGCGCTCATCCTCCATCCTATCGAAGCTGCGCAACGTTGGCGCAGAGCCCGGATATGTTGCTCTCGGGTCATGATGGGTGTAACTTTGAAAGAATTGGAATTCGCAGTGCCAACTGCTCGGTGTCCAGAGTACTCGCGACTGTTTAGAAGCGCTGACCCTACAGAGAAGCGTGTTTTACTTCACTCTCGCGCTCGTTTAGACCACACTCTGAAGTATACATTGTACTCCATATGAACGACATATGGAGCAAGCATGTAGTGTATACTTCAAGGCCAGCCTTGGTATTGAAATTGACTCAGCAGCGCGAGCTTGTCGTCGGTAGGCCTTTCATGCTTACGCGGTAAATCGCGCTTCCACAAACGCTGCGATGACCAAAGCTGCATTCACTATGAGTGTGACTGGCGCACACACCAAAACGTGCAAACGGCTATATGCGTTTCCATCACAACAACAGGCGACTGACGAGCACTGACTGCAGCCCCTCACCCTACCGCCCGACCGCGCTCTTCAACCACTTCCTCTTATTTGCGCGATCAATCAATATCAACACGGATCAGCCGACTACGCAAGCGGCATCCAAAAGGCCAAAGATACTCAGAGCCGTACTACAGGACGGAGCGGACCGCCCCGCCCGAAACACCATCAAACACTCATGGCTATCTCATCAAAACAAACATATGGCCAGCTTTTGTCGCGATCCCAGAAGAAGCGAATCGACACATGGATCAACAATCTACCGTACGACTGGCAACTAGACAGTGCAAACACAGCACTTCTCGCTCCTGCGGCGGTATACGAAGATTGGCTTGATTGGGCAAAGCCTAGGGCCCTCTCATGGCTCGCCAGACTGGACAAATACGAAAGGCGGTTTCGAGTCGCTGGAGTCGCCTACCACAAGGTTCCGTATGCCCTTCGACGCTCAATCGCTACTTGTAGCTCGAAAGCGGTCGAGCAGACTGTGTGTTCACGCCTCAGCCAAATGTTCGAAATCGGCCGCCCGCGCTCTGAAGAGCCGTTCTTCCACCCCTGGGACGAAATCTTCGACGCTGCCTATGCAGTACTGCAGAAATGGGTTATATCAAGAGGCACTGCTCCGGAAAACGTCGATCAACTTCGCGTACTGGAAGCTGAATGTGAACTCACGCTTTCTCAACTGGCGAAACCACTCCGGAATCTGGAGGCTGGACTGGTATGGGTGGAGGAGCAAGTGGCGAAGCTCGCCGAGCGCTCCGATCTTGATGGAACTGAGGCGCTGGCCGCTGAGCACAGTCGCGAGGGTAATATGTTTCGGATGTGGGTACAGACCTTTTTGGAACTTGAGCATGGGGTGGTGAAGTCAAAGTCTGCATACACGGAAGCTTTTGTCGATGGCGTGGTGGAAGACGAGGGAATTGCGAAGGACCCGTACTGGACTATGTTGGCGGTTACTGACGTCGAAGGTTGGTGAGACGGTGGGTGAACGAAGTTTAACACGCTGTGCAGACTACATGTATACTCTAGGGGCGAAGTTTCACAGCGCTCGCTGCTGCAGCTCTATATCACAAGATGTAATCTCATCCTATCATTTCCCCCAGCCACTGCAACCGGAGCTAATCAGGGAGTACCAATCAAACGTACCAGTCGTATCGCCAACATGTGCCCAAACTGCGAACCCGTACCTCCAGAGCGAGCCGACGAGGAGGCCAAGAAAGCCCGTACCGGTATCCAAGAAATCGTTGAACGCGCCGATAGTCTTCTCAATCTATGCAACTCATTGGAAGATCGCTATAGAGAAGCCGGCGTCGCCTTCCACAAAACCCAGCGCGCCGCCCGCATCGCCTTGGAACTCAACGAGGATCTGGACGTAAGCCGTTACACAGCCCTCAACAACGCCTTCATTGTTCAAAGCTACGAAGAGATCTTTGCTCCTCTCAAGGCTTTGGTTAAGAGTCTCACCGCGCTACGCACCAAAGCGCAGTATATTCCATCATCGACCGAGGCTCATAACCTCAAGTTCACGCTGGAGTTCACGCTGGTTCCTGCGATGAACGTTCTGGTCTCGGGCTATGAGACGTTCTCGAACAATCTGCGTAGCCTCGAACAAGATGTGCATGAACTAGATGTGTTCAGTAGGCAGCACTTCCAGTTCAACGATCAAGGCGAGCGTTGTGCTTGGTATGATCCCGTGTTGGATCTAACGAATGGCCAAAGGACTGTGCGGAGCCATCATAGGGAGTATGTGTTGTTCGCCGATTGGGTTTATAACTTACCGGAAGCGCGACGTGCTCTGGCGGTTCAACATGAGATCGACGGGCTACATGCATCTCGTACGCTCTTCGAGGATAGGCTGTTTGCTTATGCGATGGATTTAATTTGGCATGCGAACGAGGGGTATGTTGTTGAGAGTGCGCATTAAAATCTTTGCCATCACCGGTGTGGGATGCGCATATGATAGGAGTTAGAATTCTGGATTTATGACCAGTAGAGTAGGCAGTGCTGAAAATACATGACAGTGACGAGCGCCGCTGTCGTCTACGTGATTGCCTTCCCCTACCCAGCCAGTTTATCTGTGGTGTGTGGCGAGTCTTCTCATGATGTCACTCCTTCGAAGTGGCGTTTGCACAACGTAGGCACAAAGCTGGGTTGCTATGCTGAGTCCAGTCTCGAGCCAACCCATATCTCCTCTACCTCATGACCCACATGGAACATCTGGCGACTACTGGGGCAGTAACGGCTGCTAAAAATTTGATAGAATCGTATGTATTCGACAGGATCCAAGTTTTGGCCGCAGCTTGCAGTTCCGTTCTGACCATGTAGTCTCCCAGGGATATCGCAAATTTCACTTATCTAACCCTTGATATCACTCTTCACTTTCATATCTAGCCTATTGCTCGAGGCCTTCTTTTTGCCCTTGCAAGAGCACTTGCCGACATTCGAAGGACAAGAATTGGGGTTGCCACGCAGAGCCATTCTGTACGATGGAGCAACCTTCGGCGGGGCCGTAGTACACGCTTGACAGCGTCATCCGAGCGAAGAGCAGCCCGAGGCGGAGAGGAGGGGAGAACAGCAGCCGGATCTTGGGTTTCGTGCTGCTCAAAGCCATCGAAATGGGCATTGAGGAGTGCATCGGAAAAGAACTGGTCTTCGTTCTTCCTTGCAAGTTGCAAAGCGCGGCGAGAAGTAACGAACGCTAAGAAACCGATCAGCAATGAGACTTGATGAAGACTGGGGAGCGCTCATACTCTTAAAACTCTTGATGTGCTGACGGTTGGCTTCGAGCTGTTGATGGATCGAGTTCCAGCGACCCTCCACTAGAAGCCTCGGATGATGAAAGTATCGCTGGGTGATCTCAGTGTGCTATCAATGAGAGACAGGGCAGCCGACTTACGGCTTCATGCGAGACCTGTCGCAACAGGACCATCTTCAGGTGAGCCACACCACGCGGAACGTCGAAGACGTCGTTATCAGGGCCATCCATGAACTGACTTGCCATCCTCCGACAATAGGCGGCTCGCGTGTTGCACCTCTCGTTGAGCTTGAGCATGAACTCGTCGACGGTGCTCTCCTGCTCGGTCATGAGAAGCCTCGAGGTAGAGGTCGGCACTGTGATTGCGTGTTGGTGAACCATACTGGAGCCAGTGTCAAGAGCGGATGCAGACTGACTTGTGGGGACACCTTGGTCGACAACGTACGTCAACGTCGCTTTGAGCTGCCACTCGGGTATGGCGTCCATCGTGACGAGCCGCTCGATGCGGGAAGCCCTTTTGAGGAGCTTGTACGGCCGTCTGGGCTTGAAGCGGGTTGAGGCCATGGCGGCGGGGTGGGGTTGCAAAGTAAATTCTCGACACGATCGCGAGAGGCTTCTCGCCCTTGTTCATAAGGATACAGATAGTATCTTTAGTGAGGAGCGCCTCTTCCAGCAGTGGTCGAGCAGCGTGTCCATGCGAGAAAGCGATAGCGTGCTCATCCGCAGTGACATCTTGTTTCTTCGTGCCTTGGCCTTGATAGGTGAACATAGGTCTCTCATTGTTAGTAGCGCACAGCAACAGAGAATGTACTGCTTACACAGCAAAACAGAATCCATTTCTGCACTCAACAACAATGAACATCTGCACTTGTGTGTGCACGAATTCCCGGTAGTCTACCACAGGGATTGCTGCACCTTCATGAGTGCTGGTTGGCACTGTTCAAGAGTCAGAGCTCTGATGTGGAGGGGCTGTAAAGGGCTGGTTGGCATCGAATCGAGGTTGTGGGACAGGGGGTGCAATCTCTAGCGGGACCCAGTCGAAGAACACCCAGATTTCCCCTGATTGCTTTTAGTCAAGACTTGTGCTTACCTGGGTCTCTACTTACCGTCATGGGCACACCAATACCATCTCTGATACTGGTCGTTGAACCATAGATAAAGGTACCTCTGGAATTGGTGATTCCACTCAGGTTGGGGTTCGGTTGGATCTAACTCCTGTGGTTTCTTCTCCCGTGGCATTACCTGCTGTGGTTGTGTGCGAGGGGTTTTGATGTGGCATTTTAGACATGATAAGCTTTCATGGGAGCAGATGTTTTCCGCCACCTCTTCTGGAGCAGGACGTCTCAAAGGATCCCTTAGCGTCATCAAAATGACGATTTCCAGAAGACACAAGAGATTAGGCGGGATCTCTGCAGTGAGAAGTGAGGTATGGAGTGCGTCCATGATTCTCGAGTAACCTTCGGTCGCCAGGTCCTCATGTTCGATCAAGCGACTGAAGCGTAAAAGCATCTCGATAAAGACGCAACCCAGGGAGAACACATCTGCGGCGAAGTTTCTTTCGTCGTATTCAAGTACCTCGGGCGCACAATACCTTCGTGTCATAGACTCAGGCCTTCCTTCTGTTGTACATTGTCCATCTTTCTTGGTGTCTTTTGAGGCGCCGAAATCAGCGTAGACGACAAGGCCCTCATGAATCAGTATATTCCCTGGTTTAATGTCCTTGTGACGGATGCCCAATCCGTGCATGTATTGAAGTCCACTTGCTAGGCACCCAAAGGCCTTCTCTAGGACTCCGGTCATTCTAGCTACAACAAAAGGTGCTGTAGAGTCTTCATCCAGCGCATCAGCGTAGTTATCGAGGTATTCCTGCAAGTCGCCTTGGTCTGCAGCTGGACGCAAAATTAAGCCACCTGAGCGGGGTGTTGTGTATGTGGCAAACAATTCAATTACGTGGCGATGAGAGTTCAGAGTCCGAATGATGGCAGCCTCGTTGTGATATCGCTCTTCCGCCTCCGCTCGGCTCTTGGTCTTTCCGCGGGGGAACTTGATCACCTTCCTTGCGAATATTTCCTTCGTTCTTTTGTGTTCCACCTTTTCGACGATGGCACTCCAACCCATACCCAACACCTTTTTACACTCGAACGGAAGGCGCTCTTCGGAGTCGATGACGTAGTCACCATCCTTTTCAACATCGATCTCTCCGCTTACCGAAGAGACTTTGAGTGATTCGGTGAGCACATCGACTTCGTCGATGTCGTAAGTGTTTTTTCCCATCGTGGATGTAAATTTACGGTGAACTTGAGAACTTCTGCGTCAAGTCAGTGTCAATCCGAGGCCGCGTCATGACGGGTAGACAAGCCTCTCATCCGTTCACCGATATAAACAATATTCGCGCGATGGCTGACAGCGCCGGTTCGTAGTCGCGATAGCTCGCAGCTCGTCACATACATTAGCGATGCTGCACACTCTGAATTCTGGTATTAAAGAGCCGCTGTGGGTGTTGATGGGGAAAGGATGAGTTGGCGCAGGTAGGCGCAGAGCTTGACGCGGGGCCAATACCGGTGAGCTTGCCGTGCATACAGTGGCGTCGACCTGAAACAACGTCATTGGTGCTTTCTCGACGGTCGCTATGCCACAATCTTGAGTCTCGGCGAGACAGATCAGCCAATGGGACAGACGCAAATGCGAGTCTCGAGCAAGAGGCACCTGTTTGAAATGACGACCTCACGAACGTGGCTCTCGCATTATATCCAACTACACCAACATGTAGCATACGAATATAACGTATTCAGTGTTATACGGGCGGTCTTATGAAGGCTTGACTCACGGGGAGTATGTGCAAGACGTATCCAAGGGCAGGATATAATGGTAGAAGTACCGGAGAAACTGTATGTAGTCACAAAGGTTGTGTGTTAATTTTTGGTTCACTGATCTGTACAGAACATGTAACAGCACAAGTAGAGAATTCTCGTGGCAAGATTTGGGTCATATGGAATGATACTCCTTTAGTTACCAGTGAACGAGTAGTGATTGAGTAGTCATTGAGTAGAAAGACACGGCAACAAATACAATGTATCTTGTTCGTGGATAGCTATCGCTGAAGGAAACGTTATTCGAGAGTAGCGTATTTAAGCAAGAACAATACCACTCAACCGTGATAGGGCAACATACAGTAAGGAGCGACATCATAAAACCATGCGAACGGGATCATCATAATGAGAAACATACACCGAAAACGTATCTTGCCAGAACATAAGAGAGAAGATCTCGGTGTTTCGAGGGGCTGCGCCTCAGGAGCTGTCCATATAGTATATCAAGTCTGGGTCACATCGGGGTCTTGAGTTGAATCGGAGTTCTCCTGGTTCCAGTACCCGAGGAAGGTAGGCAGATAATCCGGATGAACATATCCAAGGCTTTTGACCTTGACATTGAACTGTATCGGGTGGTGGATAGCGAAGTAGATCCTCGATGCTGGGACTAGCGGCTGTGTATTGTCGTCCATGACGATCGGAATTGCAGACTTTACGAGTGGCGCTTCACCAAGCACGAGTTGCGGTGTCGACCCCCAGGAGTAGGCAATAGCATGCTCATCTGGGACTACCCCACGTTTGGTGGTACCCTTGTTGTCGTAGGTGAAGATCGGGCTGTAAGACATTAGTCGTGCTGAAACACAGGGCAAAGTATGATATGCATACACAGCGAAGCAGAACTCTCGTTTCCGTTTGGTGACAATGAACCTCCGTACCTGCGTATGGACGAACTCATTGTATTTTACTTTTGAGAGATTGGTATTGTAGTCCGCCATGGGGTTCAGAGAATTGGCGCCTGCAGCTTCGCTAAAAAGGACTGAGAAGACCTGCGAATTGTGAGTGAGCATTACCTTGCCTCATATCCAGGAGTCTACTACCCACCGTTCCTTCATTGAAAAAGGTACTAGGTTTGACGTAGAACGCTAAAATACATCAGTTTCGTGTCAATGACAAGACCTCCGAGAACTGACAAGGATCAAGCGTCTCATAGTGGCTGTTGGGTACTGGGTTTTGCGCATTGTAGTTGCCCTGTATTCTTTCGCCTCGTCCACTATTGTGGCGTCCGTAACCAGCAGGCCCACCTCCAGACGATGTCACCGTTTGCACCGAGTCGCTGCGTATGTGCAGCTGCGTCACAGGAACCCAATCGAAGAACACCCATCCCTGGCCTATTCCTGATTAGCTTATGCGCATCCTAGGGGATGGCCACAGACCTTCCACATAATGCTTCCAGTAATAGCGTTGGTATTGTTCATCCAACAACGTGATGAGGTATCTCTGGAAATGGACGTTCCATTCAGGTTGTGGTTGTTCCATGCCGTTTGTGGTGCCACATAGTCTGTGCGACAGCTCAGGCGGTACAACGCTGCGCTGCAGGTGTTTATGTATGCGTGGTCAACTGACGCAGTCGCGCAGAGCCGCATGCTAATGCGACAACGCCAACTCGTCTATTGCAATAGCCATGATGCCGAAGCGACCCCCCTACAGATGGCGATAGAGTGAAGATGCAGATGGGTTGGCGCGGGCGAGGCGATGACAGGCTGGCGATCGCCCATGTGCCCGTGCCGAGGATGACTAGCAGGGCCACTAACACGCTTTTGCGCCCGGCCCCGTCCACGGGTGAGCGCTGCTTTACGCTGTTATCAGTCAGTGCATGAAACCCTTGTGCCACATTTTCGGTCCCGCCATTCGGGAACAAGCAACAACTCTTGGGGCTCTCCTTGCGGATCAATGCGAATCAGCGTATCTGCACGGGCTTCGGCTGATTACAAGGGGATAATACCTCTGCTGCTGCCGCTTTCTACTGCCCGAGATGGATCGATATCACTCTAGCCTCGCATCCGGCCATACCAACGAGGGATGCAGTACGAACCACAAGCCACTGGTCAGTATGGCCTATTTGCTTCCGATAGATATGACCTCCAAAACTCTAACGACCATAGCGCACATCTTTGAGACTTCGACATCCAGGAAATGGGTCGGGTCACCGCATCCGCCAGATCTTATACGTCCAGCGCGTCCAGCGGCATCGCCAGACCGAATCCGACTTCATCATGTCGTTCCACACTCTGTCAACTATCGAAGCGTCGGGCTGCACAGCAGTCGCAGTGATGGTCAGAACGACACTGCTCAGCCTCGGCCGAGCGTATCGCCTGTGATGATGTACCCTCCTCCTCCACCGCCGCCCATATCAATTGCCGAAATAAACGCTCCTCCACCACCTCCAATGCCTACGCCTTATGGACCTCATTCGAATCTCATACCGGAAGCATCGAGGCGTGCGGCATTGAATAAGCTAGATAATGAGCAGCAATCGTTGCGGGATCTCCGTGACAAGTTGGTGGGTTCGCGTTTCTCCGTAGCCGCGATGCGTAAAGAGCTCCACAACCTGCAGATAGAGAGGAGTGCGAGAGATGGCTACGTGTTCAACCTGTTGCGCCAGTACTTCAACGAGAACGGTGGTATTCTACCACGGCATATTGAAGAAGCTTTCAATGAGGAGTCTACACAAAGAGACCGTCTTGGTCTCTTGGAAGCCAAATACGACGAAGCTGAAGCACGCTATAATACGCTAGAATGGACATACTCCCGCAGAGAGACAAGGTTCGTTGAAGAAGTTTTGAACAACAAACTCGTGCCCGACGAATCCGTTGACCAAGCTCGGAGTGCAGAGAACCCGGAAGTTCAGCAATTGACCCGCTTCATGACAGGTTCTAATGACTTCGATTTAATAAAGTCTGATCTCGCAGCTTCTGGTGACGGTGTTGAGGGCAGGGGTAGAACGCAGCTATCCACATTTCTAGCGGAGCAAGCTTTGATGGTCCCACAGAAAGCAAGTACAGAATTTCAACAATCTCGCTCGCAATGGAGCAACCAGAGCGACTTGACACTAGTCAATACGAAGATTTTCGACGATCTCCACCAGACACACGCTCATTTACGCTGGGTAGAGAAGATGAATAAAATCGACGGATGGCTGCTTGGAGTCGTGGATACCTCGCCCCTTCAAAAGCTTTATCTGAAATCGATACATGACTTTGGTTTTTCAGACACAAAGGTATGGTGGGAACGTACGAAATGGCTTCTGATACAAGACTATTCCAAACATTTCCACACGGGCGATTCTACGATTTCCATTCCTGCTGCAGCCCAACATGTGTCCAAATCTACCCGCGAAGAGATGAGCCAGGAACTATCTGTTCTTGAACCTCACAGCACAAGTCAAATGCTGCTTGGTATGGAGCCAACGAATGTGTCCGAAGTTGCTTATATACCCAATTTTCTCGCGTCAAGCAACTCCTACGAAACGCTCAGTCAAACAACGACACCCCGCGAACTATCAGTCGCTACTAGAGAAGAAGCCAAAAACCCGAAATATATTGCCCATTCACCCCGTCAAATTTCACCAAGGAGCATCATCAGCGTCAACGACGGTCGTCCACACCTTAGCCATCGCTATACTCGGTCGCTATCGGTCGCAGTGGGGGCTGGGGGTCAGACGGAACTAAGTAGCTCGAACATGACCTCCATATCTCTACAAAAGAGAAACGCGGCTCATAGACGCCACACGTTGCCCGAGATCAAGGGAGCTGAGCCTATGGAACCTCGACGTCCAACAACGAACCCCGAGATCCCTCCAGTCTCGCCAAGCGACGTTCCATCGCCTCCAGTCCACCCAAAAAGTGAAGAGCTCCTTCTAAGACGTTCAGGCCAGTCCGACAACCAGCTTCCCAGACACTCGGGATCAATACGATCTTTCGCAGCAGCCACTCCACAATCCGAGTCACCACAAGGCAACCAATCATCGTTCGTAAAGAGATGTCCAGTCATGTAGAGTCACTGAGCATGAGGATGTGCGTACCATTCCTCTGCTTGATGTATCCACTTTTCCTTCACTGCGAATACTTTGAACATCTCTGGCGTTCTCATATACGATACCATGTACAAACATGTAGAAGGTTCTTTGTTGCATATTAACAGGCTTTCCTATCGGTGTTTTATTTCGTCTCGGTGTACTTATACAGCACAAGTTTCATGGAGATCAGTATCATAGGGAGTTTGTTTGGTAGAGGTTTCCTAGTGCCTGTACCAGCAGTAACCTTTTCACAATACCAGTAGGCACACTCTCTTTTGCATACTGTATATATCCAACTTTGGAACACACCCTTCCGGGAGAACGGTGTTCATCGTGTGCTGACATGTTGACTACTGGAGCCAACAGCAACCGTCGAAGAAGTACTACACCACTGTGCGGGACTCGCAGGCCATCTGATGCCCAAACAACGCAAACTTATGGAGCAAGACAGTACCGCCCAGCCCTCACTACAACTGCGCTGCCACAGTCATAGCCAATGGACGGTAGCTGAGTCTCGCAGGCAGTACCCAGCCGGATCACCTAGGCATGCCGCAGCCTTGACGTACATCTGTGACGCATAGGCGTCCGCCACGCGTCATCACTATGAGTACACAGCGCCGCTTTGACAGTGGAAGTGATTTGCAGTCTGCAGCAGCAGTCTGCAGCACACAATTTCTTATCATCCGCGCGAAGGCTACAGTCGTACCCCGCACTCGCAACCCTCAGGTCTAGCAAATCGCTGCAGCAACCTTGCATTCCGTCGACATGGAGAACAGCGAAAACTATACATAGGCAGGCTCGATGAGCTCGTTTGGATGGACGAGGGACGAGGGACATTAGCCAGGTTCCGCAAACGTCACTTATCTCACGGTAGCAGGCAATCAAGCAAGGACCAACAGGCTTGACAGGGCGATGAGATTCCAACCCGTGAATAGATAAATCCAATTAGCTACACGGGGGCTACTTGCAGCCGAGCCCGACACCCTCAAGCTTTCACATGCGCCATCTGCACTTCAGCTCCGGCATGCCGCAAAAACCTCGAATGCTTCCTCTCGTCCTGGAAACGACGTTGAAATAAAGTTATACCGAAAATAGGGACGAGAGGCGATCTTATTTAGCGCTTTCTGTCCCATAAAGGTCCTTCAGTGCTTGAGAATTCCGGTGAAGTTGTTCTGGTGGGACGCATTCCGGTAGGGGCAGCAGCCGAGACCCAGCGCGCGCGGAAGGAGCGTCCCGCGCTCGCACCCGGCCGATGCAGCCCCGTTGCACCGCTGCCTGAGAGCTAAATCATGACCACATGTCGTTTGCGATCGGTGCGGGTGAGGAAGTAGCAAACACGAACAGCCGCGTACGTGGCATTGGAAGAAAGTGGGTTATTCCGAAGCAGCGCATGCAGCGCATCCAACTGTTGTGATGTGGCCCCACACAACCAATCAAGCTACCCTTCCGGCAGCTCTGTATCAGGTGGCTTCGTTAATGGCGTTTTGCCTTTTATTAGGCAACCGGGCGCTGTTACGATCACTCCAGGCGAAGGCTTTGGGCAAACTTCCAAGGTTATCACAGCGGTAGCCAGGATGTATCACTTAAGATGTCTGAACGGCGTGACTCTCGACTAAAGCGACAAGACAACGATGCTGAGGATTGCCTATAGCTTGCCGTTCATCGACTGCCGGCCCACCCCATACAAGGGAGAAACTGAACACCCAGGAGCCTACGTCGCCGTTGGACCATCAACTTCGCAAGCTTCTATCTTGATGTAGGCTCTAGGGTGTTCCTTTGAATGGGGTGGGCCCTCTGAAATGCAGCCTTGTGGGCCTGATGTGACGACCGGTATGTAATGACGGGGCGATATCTGACTCGTCCAACCAGATAGTGACCCACAAGCCACGTTGCGAATGCTTGCGGGTACCTCTTGTCCGACAACCCCTCCGCCGCCGAACTCCAAGCCATCGCGGCAGGAGACCGTAAGTCACTCCAGCTCACTTGCGAAAGTCTACAATGTGCTAACGAATCTAGTCACCCAGATGGATCTGCATTATGACGCCGGTCAAGTCGCCACTGTCCAGGCCGTCGCCGCTGCTCAGGTCGTCGCTGCTCAAAGCCCTCCAGTCCCCCCGTCAACTTAGACTTGACCCTGCATGAAGCCGTCTCTGCTAGGAAGTGATGAAGGAAATTGGTCACAGGGCGAATAAAGCCGCCATAAACAATGCAAATCCTCGATCTTGTCTTGTGTCTTTTTATAATTGTGAGAACTGTAACAAGTGTAGCACGCTAACTTAGAGAAAACTAAACAGCCTAGAGCCTACGTTAACGTTAGGTCACCTACTTTAGAAGTTTTTGTCTTAATGTAGTCTTTGGATCTGTTTAGTTTTTTTCTCATCGGAATTCCTTTCAAGGTCGCCTTTCAGGATGAAGGCTAACTGATGAAGAACACCGATGGGTACAAGCACAAAGCCCTTATGAAGCTCAAGGTCGGATCTTGGTTTATTCTGTCCGGTACGCTCGCCCACAACAAATGGGTAGACATGGGTAGTTACCTCGACTACCTGAAGGGTCACCCCTTCACCGAAGAGGAGGACTTCGCTACTGTCTTCCAGGGTGAGACCTATGCGGAGGTGAAGGACCCCACACCCGACCAGATCGCGCTGCTGCAGCGCTTCTTGCAGGCATTGACGATAATGAGATCCGGCGCGATCCTGACCCTGCCGCCCTGCATCCGGTTGCAATATCCGGTCACTCTTGAGGACGCACACGCGCAGGAAGTAGCCAACATGACGATGGACTATATCCAGCTGTCTGGAATGCAGGAAGACGACGATGACGAGTGCACTTTGGGTTTGGCAATTGAAGCGCAAGTTCACTCACTCCATCCGCTACTCGTTCCGGACGAGATGAAGAAGGTGTGGAGAGCCGGTGAGCGATTCCAAAGGGCGGCGAAACGCAAAGCGAGGAAAGGCAAAGGCAAGGGCAAAGCAAAGCCTCCCACTGGGGACGACGAGTATGACCCAAAGGGGCCTGACTGGAATCCCGAGAACGAGGTCGACGAAGCGTACGAAGAAGCCGCGACAAAAGAAAGGGCCAACTTGCTCGATGTATTTGTCCACGAAGAACACGAGTCGGCGGCTGCAATGAGGGCCAAATGGTTAACGACGCTTTCGAGGTGGATTCAAGAACAAGTCTTTGACTCTCCACACGTCGTGGCGTTGGTGGAGATGCTCTACAACCTCATCAAGAAGCGACCAGAAGACAAAATCATCGTCTTCTCACAGTATCTCAGATACCCTGACATCATCAACAAGGGATTACGCGTGCGTCACAAGGTTGAATGTCTCCGCTTCGATGGCACCATATTGCCGAAGTGCCGGACAGCTATCGAGAAGAAGTTCTTGGAAGACCCCCTGTGGCAGATTATGTTCATCACCGCAGGGTGCGGTAGCGTCGGGCTCAATCTCACAGCCGCCAACATCGTCGTTCTGTGTGAGGAGTAGTGGAACGTGTCCAACGAGAGGCAGGCCATATGCAGGGCCTTCGGGCAGGGTCAAGAGAAGACCGTCATGGTCATTAGACCGTTCGTCTTCAACTCGGCTATCGACAGGGAGATTGCCAAGAGGCGCATGGCCAAGTTGGATGTCGACAACGACTTGACCAAAGCGTTGATGCACAATCATTGCTTGACGACATCCTTCTTGAGGATCGCGCATGCTTGGTCGTACGAAGTCGGCATAGAATTTGGCTTTGTGCGGGTCGCCTCGAGGCTCATAGCGGCGGCCTCGTCGACAGCAACCTGTATCCAAGGCTCGCAGATGCTGATGGGGACGTTTCCGCCTGAGAGCTCAAGCTCCTCCAGGGTCCTCTTCATACGGAAGCCGGCCTTGAAGCCGATGTCGCGGCCGATCCGCTCGCCGTCTGCGAAGGCAGTGTTGATGAAGGTAACCATCGTGGAGTCGATATCGTCGTACTTCGCGTCGACGAGGGTATAGATCTGCTCTCGAAGTTCCGACTCGTGGGCTTTGTGCGGTAGCAGGCGCTTATCTAGTTCAGCGCGCTCGATCTCGATCTTTGTCCGCTCGGACATGAACTCATTGAAAGAGAACTTTTGGTCGGCAAACCGCTTCATCTTCTCGAGTATGTCCTTGCACATCCGCTCAACCGCGCCGCGTTCAAGCGCTCGAGCCGCGTCATCGCTCCGGTCATAGCTCAGATGTGTATCAGCAATGCCGTCCTTGTGCCTCTGCACCAGGTGGGCGGCGGCCGCGTTTTGCAACCTCGCCAACTCGCGGACCTGATGGGTCTTTTCATTGACAAACAGAGTCACATCGATGTTGTAACCTTTTCCTTTGAGCAGGTAGGCAAGCCAGATGTTGTCGTTGGCGGCTGACTTGAGGTCGGTGATGGCTTTGTCCTTGTCACTCTGGAGGCTAGCAACATCGGCCCGTATGGCTTTGTTCTCTGGAGTCAAAGTCAGTAACAAGGGACCACCAAGGGTAGAGCTCGAAATCGGACAAAGGCACATGATACATGGAGAATCCGAACAGGCCTGGAGCCGACATTGGAACAGCGATACGCAATTATGAAGATGCTGAGTTGATGTAAGCATCAAAGTAGTTGTTACCGTCCAAGGAAATCTCTAGTCTGTAGTCTACATCACAACAAAACGTTGCAACGTATAAGATTTGGTATTGATGTGGGCTCCAGGGTACCTCGAAAATAATATTAATTATGCCAGAACTCCCGATAAAACGTTGGTCTGCAGTCTACATCAACATGAAAAGCCGCAAAGTAGAGGGTCTAGCGTTGATGTAGGCCCCACGGTATCCGGCACTGTCGGAAAATGAGGTGATTATCCTTTGCTGTCCGTTCAGGGCGTCGCGTCTCGTCCCGACATCAGCGAGTGTTGCGGGCTCGTTGCGGATGTCCTTGAGCAGAAGGGCGCCAAACGTGATTGACATGTCGTGTCGCCCGACCTTGTACTGCAGAAGGGCGAGCTCATGGTTTAGGCCCTTGTGGATGCCTTGCTTGACAGAGGTCGACACGTCGACTGACCGCCAGTTGGCTTTGTACGGAGTCGACGCGTGTGGGGATGGTAAAGTGGCTCGCGATCCAGGGGGCGGGGCTCTGAACGTGACTATACTGCCGGGCGCCACATCGAAGACAATTGCCCGCTGCTCCGTTGGTGGTTGTAACACCAGGAGCGCGAGTTCGATACGATGGCGGATAGCTCGGCACGCCGTCGCCAGTCGGTCTCGGCCGAGCGACTTGCTGTCGTGCATGGTGGCAGCATAAACAACAAACTCGAGACTGTCGGCGGTCTCTTCCTTGGCAACCAGGATCCAAACTTTGTGGATGGCTTTGTACTGCTCAATGACCGCTGAGGTCAACACATGACAGGGATGTACGTGCTTTCGAACCAGCTCAGCTGGCCAGTGGACTGGCGCGGACTGCGCATGTTAGCGGTGCAATCAGTGTTCTCGGAAGACGCGATGCATACTTTTAGCTTCATCCATCTCCGCCGAGCTACAATGTCCTCGAATTTGTTCTCTAGGAAGAACTGAGCGAGCTCTTCTTCCCGATGGCGCCGTTCCTCTTCCTCCGCTGCCTTCAAGTTAAAAGCGCGGATCTTGGGCCACTCCGGAGCCATAGTTGGTGTGTTGGTGCTGGTGTGGTGGGTCTCAGCTACCGTAGGTACTAGAGACAGCAGAGATTGGGCAGACAACACGAACATCCTGTCAAAGTGTCAGACATCTCTTCATAGATCTGAGTTGACATGTTATCATACCATTGCGCCTGTTCAGTGTGTTATGGCTTCGTGCTGATACCTATTCGTGCCGTGCTTTCGCAGTGTACGAAATCTGCTCCAAAACGCGTCCATTTCACTTTAGGGCAGTATTCTCACAAGATTCCTGTATGCTGACGATGTAGAGTAGCCGATACTCATAAAATGGTGTCTGTCCTGGTGCCCCATTGCGATGATTGCGATGATGCCCAGGTGGTACTTGGGGATGTGAGTGAGAGGTCGGGGGTCATCTGCCTGGTTGACGCGTTCAGCACAGGCCCATGACGCGGTCCAATTGCTTATCGATAAGCCTTACAAAACAATGTGGGGCAAGCTGCGGTGTTAACACAGCTGGATGGCATAACCCCGCTAAACACGATCTACGCAGTGCTTCTCTCAGATCGTTGGTCACCCAGCTTTGCCGTTCTATAGGATTCCCCAGAGCGCGTTAGTATATTTCGAAAATCAAGGATGATATTTACGTATATGCACTGACTGAGTTCACCCTTGTTGCGGAGAGCGACAAATCGGCGTATTTCACTGGAAGCCGTCTCACCATATTGTACACTGCTGGAGTGCGTTGAGTTTTCGGGTCTTGCCAGCGTTCATCTGGCCGGCAGGTTCAGTCCAAACTGAATGCCGCGCAACTCACCCCTCGCCAGATGAGGATGCGTGGTTGGAATCGAGGTCGTCCAATTTTTCCACTGCTCAAGCTGCCCCAAATCGACCAGCGCAGCTCGAACCAGAAGACAGTTTACCAACAATGAATGAGTTCTCAATTGAGCACAACGATGACGACCAAAACCACTCCAATGCCAGCGATCCAAATGTACTATGAGATCTGATGAAAGTATATAATCTGAGGTTCTACCAAGACGCAAGAACACTAGCAACACGATGAGGAGTGTCTCGAGAAGCTATGTCAAGCGACAGTTCTCTACCTTTTGCCACCATCCATGCACTAGACACTCTTGTTTTTCTTGACTATCAGCTTCGCTTCCACGTGTCTTGTCGCGGACTCAGCCGCGGTAGAACTTTCTCTTGAAGCTTGACGATGCTTCAGCCACGACATGGATGTATTGAGCCACCGCTTGGGTTACAAACGCATACCCTGGTAATACGTACATATCCTGCAAGCCTTCCTGCAAGTGCATCTGGTCATGAGTCACACGTTCTTCCCAGGCATATCTCATGATATATCTCATCCACCAATCAACAGTCGATATATAGCAGAGCCGCAAGCCTTTCGGCCGCGCTCGTACCAGCACACCAATCTGGAATTGACCCTTTCACCCATGTCACATTCCAATCTTCATCCCTTTCGCGAGCAATACCCAGCTGCTAGCCAACCGATTTCAGACTTCTGGTCATTGTACTATCGGCCAGCAGGCTTCATAGCCCGTTCAGCCGTATCTTCAGCCGTGTTGCGTCGCTCACCGATATAGATGCCTTAGCGCGGCGATGATTGGTCAGTCTGAACGGGCTTATTGCCACGAAAACAGCAACCAATTGATCGTGCGGGGAGACGCAAGTGTCACTGTCATCTCCGAAGTGAGATGGCTGCCTCACTCATCTGTCGCGAAGTGTCTCGTTTGCCGACGCCATTAGACTTATGCGGCCTATCGCAGCCGAATAGGCAGATACGTGGTGGTAAGACCTGCCTATGCCCCGTTACCAAGACGCAACGTAGGGCCAATCTGATAATAAGGCAATAAGCGACATTGTGCCCACGTCGCGCGGGGTTATAGGGCAAAACCGGTTATACGGCAGCGCGCGGGTAGCCAAACAACTGGCGCATGCTGCAGGCTATAGTCACGCGTACAATGCTGCGTACATGCCGTTCAGCTTTGCGCTGTGAACAGTATATCTTTCCGGAATGAGTGGGTCGGACGGTATTCCCAGCCCTACAAGCTGCATGCACTCACATGGCCTTAAACTTCAGGCAGTCGCTAGGGCGGCGGCGTGTAAGACGGGAGCTAGGCGCCCTCTTGCATGCCGCAGTGGGTCGAGTGGGGTCCGGCGGCCCGTTGGAACTCCGGTCGATGGGGCGGTACATGAGGCAGCATCAAGCGATGCCGTGTCGTTCTCTCAATCTTACTCCGCGGTTGAGTTGCTGGGAAAGTGACAAATAGATGTCTGCTACCTAACTGCCGTGCCATCTGATGACATATCACGACCAATAGTATTAGCATGTCAATCCCGAAGCTCATGCTCACATACGATACCTATCAATACGCCATTGGCGAGCTTTTGCAACTCCTTCCAAATTGAGCGTACCGCGCGGTTGGCGATCATCGGTAACAGATGCTGTGCACCCGTGGCACCCCGCCGGGACCGTAACACCGGCAGTTGTCTTTCTATCGGGCCGAAAGAACAACGGTAGCCTTACTTTCGGGCTCCGATGTGCTGACACCGGGTCAGCAAGGCATCCACTCCCACGTAAGTATGCGTCCTGCTGATCATCTCCACCGTCGGAGACATACAGCTGAGCCCGACAGTGTGGTCGGCCTGAGTACCAGCTCGCATGACGCCTGCAACTAGTGGATTGACCCACCACTTTCCTCTTTCAGCTCATCGACGTGGGCGAACTGGCGTTTCATGAGGTCTCGGGTTGACTAACATGACATGCAGATGAACCAGTAGATGTATTGAGATACCGGATAGATGAAGTAATAACCAATCGCGAACCACCAGCGAAGCCAACAAGCCCTCCCGAAAGCGATATCTGCCTGTTCGAAATGTACTCTCGTAATCGCAAGTTGTTAAAGTATACAGTATTAGAACAATTCCTGGTAATATGTAATTAGAAGAAGGTGAAAAGTAAGACTAACCGAGCAATATTGCTGACATCTGCGGAACAGGGGTAGATGGACGAGCTACGCCACTGACTGCTTGCGTGCATGAACTCCTGGACGGTGCATTGCGATTGATGGAGTGCTTTTACTCCTCTTGTTCTTGGACACACGGAGCCAGCCAAGCCAGCTGCTCGAGCTCTTTCGTCTCCCTGACGGTGATTGAGCATTAGACGTAATCGTGCTTTCGACGAAGGGCGGCGTCGCCCTCATATCAGAAGTGGGTGCACTAGGTGTGTGCACACGAGGGCTTGGCAAGGTAGTCCGGGTCTCACTATCCAGAGTTGGCTGAACGCGTATGGGTTTCGTAACATCCGAGTCGGTGGGAGTTGACGCATGAACATCAGGAAGCCTTGGCTGTGTTAGATGGCAATGCTCATAGTTTGTTGAAGTCTTCGTAGCCGTCTCCTCAAGACCCCGTGATATTTGCGCTGGAAGTTGCATATGAACACCGAGACTATGCCTGACCGCTAGCGCGCAGCTATGATGATGATCCACATCTGTGCCTTGGACGCTGTCTTTCCGCTTAGCCGCATCGCTGTACTCGGAAGGACAAGTACATCGAATTCGATCGGCGACATCGTCAGCCGGAATGCTACCTTCATTTCGCTGCCGTATATCCGGAGATCGCCCATTGGAAGATCCTATCAGGCAGCCCGTCTTTTTTCCCGTATCATCCAACCGATGATGCCGTGACAGCGATAGTGGTCGAGGTGACATCGACGAAGCTTTCGAATCATCTCCTTGTGGCATCTCGCCTAGCTCGAGGGGTTTCGTACTGCCATTTGTTCGATCGGAAGGGTGCATCTCTTCTCCATGTGGCAGTCGCAACTCAGAGGAAGAAGGCGCGCTTTCCACAACGTCTATATCTCGACAAGACACAGGTTCGTGGCTCGTTCCGTTCGTAGAAGTCGCACAACGCTCGTTTCCGTCTCCGGTCTCAACCAGGCTATCATTGCTCCAGAAACGTGTTGCCCGCGCCTTCCAGTCGTCATCGGTTAGGTTCGCTACTTCGCGGTCTTCCAGTGCATTCAAATATATGCACTTCTGCACGGCGCTGCTCTTGAGATATGTAAGAGACCATTCCCGAATCTTCTCTTTCGTCGTAGGGTCATCCTTAATTATACAGACAGCGCTCTCAGTCTGTGTTCGTCGCATCGATGCTGAGCATGGTTGCGCAGCTGCAAAGTCAGGCACCGGGTCAGAATACCGTCTAGCCAAAGCCAAAGCCGGTGCTTCTCGAACTCCAGTCATAGCTGCTACTTTCAATTGCTGGGCGCTAGCTTCGCATTGTGAGAGCTGATGTAAAATCTTGAAATAATCGCTTGTAGGTGCCGCAGGATCAAGATCAGAGGGCTCAACTCCATTAGCAAACAGCACCTCACCTCCCTCCTGCCACACAATATTTGATGCGTTGTTCTGCCGAATTCGGTCAAATCCCTGTCGTAATCTTTCTACCTCTGCAAGTTTAGCGAAGTATACTTCGCTCGCTGGGATGAGCGGAACTGCAACGTCTAGAGTAGAGACCGCCGAGCGCAAGGATGGTGAGCGAGTAGGATGCGGTGTCTCGGAAGAGTCGCCTGCATCTAACCATCCTGCTGAGTGTGTAGTGGAACCAGGATCTGGCAAGAACGGCTGCAGCTGCGGTGTTGATAGGTGCAAAGGAAGATCATGCGTTTGGTCTTGAGAAGCAGCAATGCCTTTGGGATCGTCCTCGTTGACAATACTCCAGATATCGAATTGATAGAACCCATTCTCTTGATCCATGAATCTCCATTCAGCCCCGGTAAGATTGCGTTCAGCTTGCAGATAATCCTCCTCGATTTCCCCTAGAATGTCACGGGCTTGCGCAACGGCGTTGTAGGCGTCGATTATAGTGTCCGGTAGCCCATCTCTAGGTTGGTTGACGAATTGTCGTAGTCGGTTCATAAAAATGACTTCAGCGTCGCCAGCATCCACCCGCTTTAATCGAACATTGCGACTAGCAGTCCGCACCCTCTCACGCGTGACGAGCAGCTGCCTTCGAGCTGAAGCTAATTGGTCTTGCAATTCTGACAAGCTTTCCAACCGGGCCTCGACACTAGCTCGGTCTTGTTGGGTTCGTGTCGTATATGCTCTTTCGACCTCTGTCGAAAAGTGTTCTTCCATCTCGCTTCGACAGTTTCAACAAGGTGTAGATGGAAGAAAACTTGATCAGTGCTGGTATTACGGGGGATCAAGTGGTCTTTCATGACCGAAATGACAGCGTGATATGGCTCTCAAGGACGACCCTTGCAACGTGCTCAGCCTTCCCCTTGAGCATTGGCAAAGATGAACACCTGTCAAGTTCCGAGGCCTGTCGGTCCCCTATAAGACCGTAGGTGGCAGATAAGTGGCCGTGAGGTCCACGGACCAGCAAGCGCGTGTGTCCGTTCCGGTTGTCAAACACGAGAGGAGCTGAAGCCGTGCAGCCGGGAATTGATTTGCGCTCGGATGTAGTAACACAATAAAGCGAATCAGCATATGCATGCAGCATCCCGGCTTATCTGGTGACGATACTTGTGTGCGGGTGATTGGTGCGTGGAGGTACAAGCCCATTCCACAGGACATGCCTGGGCCGTGCCGGTTTTGAAAACGCAAAACCGGTCTAGCCCAGAAGTCGCCTTGTTGCGCGTCGAAAGCGTCTCTGTACAGTACGCGCCTGCTCGACATCCCAAGGAAAGCAGATACAGCGCATATGCAGGTTGTTGCGGAGGTGGAGTCGTGCCATTCCAGATTCATGGCGCGCATCACACCCTCTTCTGCTGATCCTTATGAGATAGCAGAGCCGCAACGCTCCCGCTTTCCCAGCTTTTGCGCATATAAGACATACCTTCAGTCTCCGCGAAAGTAAGTGCCACTTTGCAGGGATATCAAACCATCCGCACAGGTATATCGAGCCAGCCTCGAAAGCGACTCCAATTTGATTGTGTGCCCAGACAAGGTTAGGAATTCGCCCAGTTTGAGCCTCATTGTCGCAGTGAAAACGCCCGACATGGCGAACAACGGCCAAGGGTGGACGTGGAGCCCCGAACACCAGAATTACTACTATGTCACATACGATCAGTACCGTCAGTTATGAAACGTCTCAAGCTGACATCCAGTCGCTGACCCCTCTAGAACGCCCTGTTTACCATTGGGGCCAACAGTCTCAAGCCTACGTCCAACAAGCTGAGTCTCACGCGCCTGACACGCGTCTCAGACAAGACTCAGCGATAGAGCCGCAGATGCCCGAGCCAGGTATGGTGGAATAGTCATCTGGCAGCAAAGCAGACACTGACTTGGTCTTTTCAGCTCCCCAAGACGTTCGTACGCTACAAGGGTTCATATCGGGCACGCCACAGACTGGGTGGTACGATCGTCTAGACACTTGTCAGTACCTGGAGACTTACGCAGATTTCTTCTAACACCAAGCCAGCTTATCGAATGCGGACTGGTCAGGAAGCGCGAGAATTTTTCAAGGTGGGAAAGGTCTTTGCCATGCTATACACTGAGACAGCAAGCGACACCTCCGTACAGCACCCCAACGACGAAGCATACACAGTGATACGGTTCGGTCAGACCGCACACACTAATATCCGCCGGTTTGTTGTTGTGGAAGTGAAGCGGGGTTTCGTAAACGCTTGGTAAGATTCAGTGCAACTATCGGAAGTCGCGACAGAGTGCTGATCCATTTTAGCGGTATTGGTACCTATTCTGGTCGTGGAACTCTTAAGGACGGATGCAACCCAGCCGAACATACGATCGTGTACTTCTCCGGGACTGATCCTGCATCATGCTACATTCCCGGCGAATATGAAAGCGGCATGATCAAAGAGCCAATCGAGGTTGTGCCTGCTGAGCCAAACGAGAGGATCAGGAGAGAGTCTCGCATCCGATTTGGCAAAGTGTATCCAATCGAGATGAACGTCAAAGTCAAAGACATTGGCCGAGTTCGCGAAGACCATATCAGTGCACTGATCAGCTGCTGGGCGCAGGAAAACCATACGCCAATCCTGGCGTATACTCCTTCATCTTCGACCGCCTTTTCTTCGAACAACTGGTCATCGGGCGGGTTCTCTTCTCAGCGTGTGTAATTGCCTCATGGTGGTATCTGATCGGCGAGAATTCTGGCTGTCCTTATGAGATCACGAAACTAACGGCCGAAGTATTCCATATTTGCCTTGACGAGGTCCGGCACGCGAGCGTACCGTCTCTTTGGCTTTCCCATTATCAAATACGTTATATATGACCAAATTGAATGACTTCCCCTACGTAACTAGGTGCCTTTTGTGATCTGGTGATCTGGAACGCCGTGATAGGTCTAGTAGGTACCGTATTTCTCCTATCGCGGGACGATGGATGCCGAACGCAGGATGCCGAGTGGCAGTGTTCGATCGAAGCGTATGCGGGAGTTTCGCGATTCGGGAGGGTTCGAGGCTGCGATATCCGGATGTCAATACACATTATGCATGCTCTCTCGCTACACGGTCGCATGGGCACCGGTACTTCTCAGACGATGAAGCGCGATTACTGGAAATGCGATGATCCGTCGAGCACGACTTTGAAGCCATAGGTCCAGCGGCATCGAGGCGCGGTGCGTAGCTGCCAGGGTCGCCGGCGCGGTATCTCAGCCGTGGTGGAAAGGGGGTTGGCATGTGAGATAGGTCGCATTCGCGTTGACGATATTAGCAGGGCGCTCGTCAATAGATCGTAGGTGCGCAAGAGTGTTCGAGTGTGGAGGGGTTGACGATTGGCAGGAGCGGAAGGCGGCATCGGTCACGCGCCATCTAGTGGGTCCACACCGCCGCGCCCATCATCCAGATATAGTACGGCATCGACACCAAATATTGCAACGTTCCACGCACCGACATGCAATCTGTAAGGCCAATGCGAAGAGAAAGCGCGGATGCATCCGTTACATGAAGGCCCATGCTCAAGAACATGTCCATCGGCGCCGTAATGGCCATACCCAATTCTTTCACCTTAGCATGATGCTCGACTTCGTCGGTGTTCCCATTATGTATGCGCAGATGAGATGAGAAGTACTGAGCGGTGGCCACATGGACACGAATGGCTGACTTGTAGATGGCACGATCATTGGAAGGAAAGCTCGCTGATGTATTTTGTCATAGATCTGGTGCAAGTCTACTAATGACATTCAAAGAGAGCTGGCCGAGGACGTAATGCCTTATTTCCTTCCCTTACCCCTCGCATTGAACGTCTTCAAGGGGTCGACCTTGCCATTCCTTCGTACCACTTTCCTGCCCTTGCCCTTGCTATATTGCTTCTTCGCCCTTGGTATGTTTAGGCCGACAAAGCCGACATCCTGCGGCTTCTTCCCACCCGGTAGAAGATAATCGGGAATGTGCCGCAAGTGAGGTTGTATTCTCGCGGGATGGTTGAGAGTTTGGTCGTGGCGGAGATGCGCGAGCGCTTCAGGGTTCTCTTCGAACTGTTACGATGTTAAAATGAGCCAGCAGTGAATGATGCGGATGAACTTACGTATCGCGACAGCTTCTGCGACTTGGCCAGCTCCATGTGAATTTCCTTGATACGTGCCTCGCGGATGGCGATCCTGGTCACCGACTTCAGGGCATCTGCGAACCGGTATCGGAATGGCTCTAATCGTTTCATGTCGAATTGGTAATCCTCCAGCTTTTGGCCCTCTTCTTGATGCTGCTCTACCTTCTTCAGAACCTCTTCATCATGTTCGCATCCAGCAAATGTAGTCGGCTTATGCTTGCGGTATTTCTCCTTCGGGATGATGAACGAAATGGCCGTGCCAGACTTGCCGGCTCGTGCTGTTCGTCCAATTCGATGGAAGTATGATTTGTAGTTCCCGGGGAAGTCGAAGTTAATTATACAGCTGACGTTCAGGAAGTCGATGCCGCGAGAGACGCCGGAGTCGGTCTCCTTGTCCTTCTTCGCTTTCTTCTTTGGTCGCGACTCGTCTTGCACGCCAACGACGTCGGTTTCGTCCGAAGCAATGAGGATCTTATAGAGATCTTTGTTGAACTCCTCCACGATATGTGTTCGAGACGCTAACGGGAGTTCGGAGTTGAGGACGATCGCCTTGATGCCGAATTGCTCGAGGAAGAGTTTGACGCGGTATGATCTGTCGACGTCGCCAACGAACACGATACTGGAGGGAGAAAGTCAGCGAGTTTCCCCAATGTAGTTGATGCCGGTGTTTCTTACCTCTTTCCATGGACCAGATTGAGTTTCATCATGGCGAAAAGCAGGAGGAACTTGTCGTCCTCTGCCACCTTCAGCACGTATTGCTTGACCTTCTGCGAGTCCTTATCCAGATCCTGGAGCTTCAGTACAACGGGGTCTGTGCAGAGCAGGCTTCCAAGTGCCTCAACATCCGTTGAGAGGGTTGCTGAAAGGACGATCTTCTGGACACCGACAGGAATCTCCCGGGCGATGTTCTCCATGTCGTCTGCGAACCCGTAACCGTTGATCAGGTCACCCTCGTCCACGACAAGCGTCTTGATGTCGCTGACTGACATGGCCGAGCTGTTGATGTTTGCCCATGCTCTCGCTGGTGTCGCGACGACGATCTCTGGTTTATCCGCGAGTGCTGCCTTGATGACGACATCCGATTCCTTGCCAGCGATGTTGCGGACCCGAATCGATTGCCCACAGTGTTGTGAGAGCGATTTCGCGACTGTCGCGATTTGTGAGCAGAGTTCCTTAGTGGGCGCCAGGATGAGCGATTGGCCTTTCTGCTGCAGCGTCTTGTGAAGGATGGGCAGCAAGTAGGCTCCCGTCTTTCCGGTACCTGTTCCCGAACGCGCGAGGACGTCACGTCCCTCTAGTATCAATGGTATGCCTTGAGATTGTACTGCCGTTGGCGATGCCCATTTTAGGTCGCGGATCGCTCTCAGAAGACGGGGCTCGAGTTGTAGTTCGGCAAATGAGGCGACTATAGGTACTGGTTCGGCAGTAGCTTTTGCATTAGAGCCCTTCTTCTTCTTCTGTGTGGAAGCGGTTGCAGTCGCAGTCGCGGTTGTGGTGGATGTCGCGGGTTCGGGCGAGCTGCGGGGCTCGGATTGTGACTCGTCGCTCGATGTCACTTCTGGCACGTCGTGCTCGTTGAGTTTGCGCTTCGCCATCGTGTCGGTATTTGATTCGTATCTACGGAATGTGGTCGCGTCGGTGTTCGTCGAGGTTTGCGCTGCTTGCATCTACCAGTTCTGAACTTTTTTGGCGCTACTGCCGGGCGGCCTTGGCGCGACCCACAGCGGAGGAGCGACTGAACGCTGATGCCCTGCGTCAGTCGCGACTTCCACACACGCGACTGGGACTGGGCGGCAGACAAACGACACCGGTAACACCAAGCAACGAACTGCAGTAGCAAATATTGACACACCCTACGCCGTCATTACACAGAACTACATACGTCTTCTCGTTGATCATCGACCAAAAAAATGCGCCTGTTGAAAGCCCAGACACAGAGCATCAGCAGGCATTCGAGCACGACCTCGCCAGCTCGACTTCATGAACCTCAACCCCCGATCCCGATCAAGCCCTGGTTCGTCCTGCAATAGTCGTCGCATGTAGCCTAAAGTCCTTCGTTAATAGGTGCCAGCAAGGAGTACGCAGACACTTACCCTAGGCATGCCTCTTCTGCCCCCATCCTGCACCATACTCTCCAGAGCTACAACATACTTGGTGATCTCCTCGTTTCCCAGCTTCTTCAATGCCTTCAATACAGCATCGATCGTTTCCTGGTCGGGTCCTTGATCACTCGTACTCATCAGGTCGATACCCGGGGGCGTTTGGGTGAACTCCACTGCCGTCGAATAGCTCGCGTAGTATGGGACTCTGTTCGCGTCGCAGCCCCAAACCAAGATGCTGTATTGGCATGTAGCTCCGACCAAAATCCCAGTAGCTGCAAAGTCCAGCACTGCTGGCAAGTAAGGATGCGGTGTGTCGACGCCATATGTTGTAATGATTGTGTCGTTGCCTGGGAATTGGAACGAGAAGAGGTCATTCACAAGTCCAGTGGGCTCAGAGGGGTCGATTGGAGTCGGGTCGTATTGTACGTTCCGCATCGCAGCATACTGAGGGTTTGACGCGAGAATCATTGACCATGGTTGGAAATAAAATCCGACGGGTGGTGGCCGCCATGATCTGCCGTGATGGGCATGATCGGTGGTATTGAACGTTGGAGGTATGCGAACCTGTACGCCTTCCGCACCCACCTTGCGCGGACAACCGTCGGGGGTGGTGTGGGCGAGAGCACCCAGTGCAAGCTTGAGGAGTATCACGATGGAAAGCATGATGCCGAAGGTAGTCTGTAAACGAGAAAAAAAGAGCTCAAGACTTCTGAATGTATATATGTGACATCCGAAGCTCCCGCTGACTGTCTTCCCGATTAGGAAAGAGGCCGGGGTAGTTGCTCGTGGTCGTCGTACGTTGGCGAATAGACACGCCAACCGAGCCGTGAGTCGGGCCACTCGCTCCTCACCACGCACAACAAGTGCGAGTAACTACTTTGTGCAATCGTGGGCAAGCCCAATGAGGTACCAATAACATGTTGCTTGTCCATGGCGCGACGCCAATATAAATGCCTCGTGCATGCAACATCAAGCCTTCTCGTATAGTCCAGAAAAGTTCATTGTAGTCGCAGGGCGTGACGGTTCTGTAAAATCACCTTCATATCATTTTGTTCCGCTGTTCTGAGTCAGCAATTCGAATGACGCCTGTAGCCTCGATACTCTGAATGCGAGGGCACACTGTATACCTAGATGTTAGCTCTCCTCTACTATTCGCAGATAGGTACTATGCATTCTCCCAGCGAGAGCCAGAGTAGATCCATGCTGTCCTCACGAAATTGTAGGTGTTGAGCGCATAGCGACATGGAAGATTATGGCGGCAGATGGCGGGTGGAGGCCAGTGGATGCCGGCTGCAAAGCTTTGGTCTCACAGATATGTGCGAACGGCCACAGTTAAGCTGAAGTGCCATCTTAAGACGAACAAGCACGTATGTGTCGAAGCTATCGAGTAACGACAATATTGCGAAGATGCAGGTCGATCATTACCGTGGAGAAAGCCGGACCACGGGGATCCTCTCATGCAAGCCGACTTCGGACTCCACCGCCAGCGCATCCTCATTGGCTACCACACCGTCGCTTATCTTCATTCTCCTGTTTACCTCATCGAAACCACCAACCCCAACCTGCCTCCAACCTACCCACCATCTCCACGCCCAGACCCAGTTCTGGCTGCCCAAGCAAAAAGTTACAGATACCAGCCACTCACAGCTGAGCAAGAAAATTTCCGCTGAGCCATTCGGTCCTGCCCGCCACTACGAGGCAAGCGCGATGCACCTCCGTTGCAAGGCCGTTCGTTATCAGCATAGGCGAGCGATCATGCAACGCCCAGTCGGCTAAGAGCTGAAAGTGCCCTACAACAAGACCTCATCGCTAATATAAGCATCAAAATTGCGTAGAAGACGAGAGGTTTCTAGTCTTGGCCGTCGTTGCACGTTACCTAGTCTCGACATGCGCCTATCTTCAACCAATCATGTGCCGGCCCGATTGCCAATCGAAGAGATGGTTGTGTGCGGTTGAGAGGTTCGAGATAGCAGTCTTGGGACCGAGCTGAAGCCGGGAAACGGTAATCGTGGGGATGCTTTGGGGTATAGATACCTCGTTTGCCCCGCTGGTATGCTTCGACAGCCAACGCTCTGAAGCTTGACGTTGAAACAAGCTACATCTCTCGATATGGCTGGCGGCGGTACTCCTGTTGGCCCCTCTGCTTCTCCCCTTGGCCAGGGTTGGGGCTATGGTATCGTGCTTGGTGTTGGCTTTCTCTTCGCCCTTGGCATGGTATGTATACATGATTGCTATAAGCGCAACAATCTGACAACCTCAAGGTCTTTACCACTTGGGTTCTCAAGCGCTACAACAATGAGGTGCAAACTTCAGAGATGTTCTCAACTGCCGGTCGTACTGTCAAGTCTGGTTTGGTAGCTTCAGCAGTAGTGTCTTCATGGACTTGGGCAGCTACCCTGTTGCAGAGTTCTTCGGTCGCGTTCCGCTACGGTACGTTTCGACACTACATCACATCAAAACCAGAATTCTGATCTTCGTTAGGTGTTTCTGGACCACTCTGGTATGCCGCTGGTGCTACCGTACAGATCCTGCTCTTTGCTACCGTTGCGATCGAACTCAAGAGGCGAGCCCCTAACGCTCATGTGAGTGAAACAGCTTCTCGCTATTGGCGAAGCTAGAACTGACCACCCCGTAGACGTTCCTCGAAGCTGTGCGTGCTCGATACGGAAAGGCCACGCATTTCGTGTACATCACGTTTGGCCTCTTCACCAACATACTCGTGACAGCCATGTTGTTGACTGGCGGATCTGCCGTCATCAGCTCTTTGACCGGTGTGCCTACAGCCGCAGCCTGTTTCCTACTTCCCCTGGGTGTCGTAGTCTACACCATGTTTGGTGGTATCAAGGCTACGTTTCTCACAGATTACGTCCACACCGTTATCCTCCTCATCATCCTTCTTACTTTCGCATTCACGACTTATGCCACTGGTGACCGGCTCGGCTCGCCCAAAGCAGTGTACGATCGTCTGCAGGAACTTTCGGCAACCACCCCCGTTCCCGGCAACGCTGGCGGAAGCTATCTTACGATGAGGAGCAAAGATGGCGCCATCTTCTTCGTCATCAACATCATTGGAAACTTCGGAACTGTCTTCATGGACAACGGATGTGAGTGTTCCTTTACATCAAATGGTATCAGAAATTGACAATAGTCAGACTACAACAAGGCCATTGCCGCATCCCCAGTTCATGCTCTTCCCGGATACATCATCGGAGGTCTTTCATGGTTCGCTATCCCTGTAAGTACTTCTTCCATGCGCATGTCGAATCACGTCTGATCTCGTTTTCAGTGGCTTTGCGCAACCACTATGGGCCTCGCCGCTCTGGCACTGCAGAGTACGGAGTACTTCCCTACCTACCCCAACGGTATGGATGAAGCCTCGATCAGCGCGGGCCTCACCCTTCCGTACGCTGCTGTAGCGCTGCTCGGATCTGGCGGTGCAGTGGCTACCCTTCTAGTCGTGTTCATGGCCGTCACTTCAGCTTTCTCGGCGCAGCTCATCGCCGTCTCCAGTATTCTGACATACGACATCTACGCAACCTATATCAACCCCAGCGCGAGTGGCCGACGTCTCGTCTACACTTCACACGTCTGCGTATGTGGATTCGGGCTTGTCATGGCTGCATTCTCAACCGGCCTCTGGTATGCAGGTATCAGCATGGGTTGGCTTTACGTCTTCATGGGCGTAATCATCTCGTCTGCGGTTCTTCCAGCAACCCTCACGTTGATGTGGAAGGGTCAGAATAAATGGGCGGCAACTTTGTCGCCAGTTTTGGGTCTTTGCTGCAGCATCACCGCCTGGCTCGTCACCACCTCCAAGCTGAACGACGGTGTGATCACTGTCGCTACTTCTGGCGCCAACAACCCAATGTTGGCTGGCAATGTTGTCGCACTGCTTTCGCCCGTCATCTTCATCCCGGTCCTGACCCTGATCTTCGGAGTTGACAACTACGACTGGGTGTCAATGAAGAACATTCGCCTTGTCGACGATTCGGATGTTACAGCAGCTGCGCACATGGATATTGAAGCCGTGCACGGCCGCCATGCTGCCCTCTCCCCAGAAGCCGAAGCCGCCGAACAAGCCAAGCTGTTCCGCGCCTCCAAGATTGCAAAGATCACCACCGCTACGCTGACACTCGTTCTTCTCGTACTTTGGCCAATGCCTCTATATGGTTCCGGCTACATCTTCAGTCAGTCGTTCTTCTCAGGATGGGTCATCGTTGGCATCATCTGGCTGATGTGCAGTACTATGGCTGTTGGTGTATATCCTCTGTGGGAAGGCCGTGAGAGTTTAGCTAGGAACTTCGGTGGTATGTGGCGCGACATCACTGGCAAGGGCCGTCGTCGCGGGGATCATGTTGAGGTGGTGGAAGGTGAGAAGACAGCTGCGCCAGGCACGCAAACACCTAAGGAGGCTGATGCGAAGGCGTTGGAAGAGAAATCGTAGATGAAGTTGGCAAACACACACACACACACACACACACACATACGGTGGAGCCTTCATTAGAGTGTCCTATACCTCGCGTAAGAATGGAAGGTTCTCTGGAGAGCACAGATTTCGCGTGTAATGCTGATTAGTAGCAGCTGTTCCAGGCCGCAACAGGCAAGCGTCCCGCTCGGTGCTTCCCTCGGCCACCTCCTGAACTCTTGCACATCACCGCGAGCATCGACCCGGTTGCTGGTACCTCGTGATATTGATTACAACTCTGTCTAACGCTCTCAAGACCCGTTCGGTGCTTCTTCGCCCAATGTTGTGGCGGTTGACCACGTTTTGCAGGGAGCCTTACCCGTGTCACCACGAACGCCTTCCCAAATCCAGGATGCATGCGCGGGCAGACACCGCCCCAAGAACGCGCTACTGGAGAACGAAGAAGCGCGATTGCAGGAAGTTCCGGAACAATGTTCTTGTCGATCAAATTGTCCGGGGTTGCTCCAGGTACCCCGCGACCCCAGTGCTTACCCGGTAATAACTTCGGGGCATCTCCGCCGAGAGGCTTGTTAGCTTTCTTCGAGCGACGTACATGCTTGCAGCGGTATATAATGGTCAGAGCTACTATGGCTTCAGATTTATCCTCGCCAAGTACACTCGCGCATCGCTGTAATCATCATGAGCGCCCTCAAGTTCCTCGGCCTTGCTGCGCTTGCTGCAGCGGCTCCAGTGGAGGAGCGCGCAAAGAAGCCCAAGAGCTTTTTGAAAGAGCTTGGAAACTCGACTTGGATTATCGGCAATGAAATCTGGAATGTTACGCAAAATCGCCAGTATGCCGATAAGTTGTGGTACAAGGGCAAGGACCGCGTTGGAGATGCTGTTGGGCACTATGTTAGTTACAGTATGTGTGAAAAGGTGCTGCGGCAACGGAGTCACAACACAGCTAACAACCTGTAGACGGTGCGGCATCTGATTTGAACTGGACATCCGCCGCGATTGTGGACTCGGATACCGATCACATCAACGTCAAGTTTACGGCGAAGGAGGGCGACTTTCACTGGGTGATCTACGATGACCTTCCAGGTGCATACCAGTACTTTGTCAATCACGACTTGCCTACGCTGGGCGAGTTCCGTACTTTGTGGCGTCTCGACAACACCTCGTTTCCACGTGGTCACAACAATGTCAAAGATGGCGTGCTTCCCGCATTGGAAGAATACCGTCAAGCTACAAACGTCCAGGATGAAACCTGGCAAAAGGCTGACGGGTCATTCTTGACAAAGTATGACTGGAGTGGGTTTGTTCGAGACCAAGAATACTATGGTGTTTACGGAGACGAAGTTGGGAGCTGGTACCTCAACCCTGGGAAGGATTACTACAATGGTGATCATCTCAAGCAGGAGCTCATGGTATGTTCGATCCAGTCGCCTCGCTGGTATGCGGTTTGATACTAACCTCTAAAAGGTCCATCGCGAGTCCCAGACAGGCGATGCAGTGCAGCTGAACATGATTCACGGCACACATTACCAGGCCATCGCGCGTGATTCCTTCGCGGATGGCAAGATCTGGGGTCCATGGCTCTGGTACCTCAACGACGGTAGCAAAGACGACGCCGCAGCCCGCTGGAAGAAGGAGGAAGCAGCCTGGCCGTATAAGTGGTTTGACAACAAGCCCTACCAGTCTCGCGGCAAGATGCAAGGCAAGCTCCTCTTGAGCGACGGACGCCCAGCTGCTGGCGCTGCCGTGTTCCTTGGAGACAACCGCAACACAACAGTATCAACGCTCGATCAAGGCCAGAACTGCTACTACACCACCTACGCCGACAAAGACGGCAAGTTCGACATCCACGACATCCGTACCGGCACCTACGCGCTCTATGCCTGGGGTAACGGCGGCGCTATTGGCGATGTCACAACAAATTTTACCCAAAACGATGTCGTGATCCGCGAGGGCAAGAACACGAACCTCAAGGAGATGACATGGACGGTCACCGACAGCGCGAAGCGCATCTTCCAGATCGGCGACTTCGACCGCACAAGCGACGGCTTCAAGCTCGCCGATCCAGCCCACCCCTTTGAACACGCCCGCATTTCCAAGTGTCCCGCAAACCTGACCTATACCATCGGCACCAGCACTCCTCTCGACTGGTGTTTCGGTCAGTCTGCTCTCGGTACCTGGTCTGTTCTCTTTCCTTCCAAGAGTACCTCCGCCGCTAAATTGACGGTCTCGCTGGCGGGCTTCTCTCAGGGCTCGAGCTGCGATGTCCTGCTCAACGACGTCAAGGTGGGTAATATTACCAGCGCAAGTCTGTTGAATAGCCAGGATACGTATCGTGGTGCGACACGGGCGGGCGAGTGGAGATTGCTTGAGTTTCCGATCGCGGAAGGTGCGTTGAAGGGGGAGGGAAGCAACCGACTGGACATCAAGGTCACGAGGACGACGCAGTGGAGAGGGTGGCTTTGGGATAGCTTGGTCTTGGATGAGATGTAGATGAGAAAATCAATCGTATCGCGCATGCATCGTCTGTGCTCTCGTGTGCTCAGAAGGAACGGGCAGTTGCCAAGGTCTGAGGCTTGAACAGGCTAGCGTTTTTTTGGATGTAAACGTCATCTTGCCCAACCTCCCCAAGGGGTATGGTGACCTCACACCACCCGATTTAGCAGCAAAGCACTCCTGGAAGTCATCCTAACATCTGACTTCTGTAGGTACGAAACGATGGTGCTGGTGTCCTTCTTTCTCTCTCCTTCCTCGAGACCCGCAGTAAAGGCGAATGACTCAATGAAAAAGATACTGCGAGTTGAATCGCAGTATGGACATGCCCAATGAAGACGACTTGCGTCGCATAGCTTGCCACTTGATCTTGGAAGTGCGAGCACTCTCGACACTTGCCCAAGGTGAGATGTTGAGATCTCGTCCGGCCCTCGAGACATCCGTGAAGATGTTCCGCGGTCAGGACTTTTCTACGCTCGGTGAAGACGATACCAAAGGGGTGCTAAGGTGGGAAGGGGTACGTACCTGCTGTTCATCCTCCGGGCCCCACGAGTCAAGTCCTGAGTCTGGGTATGTATCTCTACGCGAGTCGAGACCTTGGCAGAGAACCGACCTCTTCGGGTATTGGGTCTGCACTGGACTAACATCGTGCAAAAGACCGACCTCAGGACAATGGCGGTGTTGCTGTCACTACGTTGGCCTGCACAACGATAGCACAAACATCCACAGTTTACCTATGGTGACATAGGATTTTCCATCGGCGGAGGCGTACGACCACCGATGGTTGGCGGTCTTGAAGAGTCCAAAAAGTGGCACATGGGCCCCTCTCCAAGTGCCGTGGTTCGAGAAACAGAAGAACAGCTTAGGCTTTTTACGACCGCCGCTGATCTCTTGTCTCTTTGTCGTCGATATGGGAGCCAGCTACCCGCATGTCATGTATCGTGGGCCATTTGACCTATCAGAAGTTCCGCAAGTCTTCTTATCGCAGATATCTTCCGCACACGTTCCCCTGAGAAGGGTAACACTGGCGGTGGGTACACGTGGGATGGAGTCGAACCACCATTGTTGTGACCTGAAACAGGACCACGAAGAAGGCAGCCGCGGTTGCTGTTATCCGTCTATCCAACGATTGTACCTGACATACGAGCAGTGACTGTCCATAACTGAACCTGACGACGGACTCACTATCTGCCAGAGCGTCTCACCTCCGTGGTGGTAAGCCGTCGGAGCCAGTAGGTCACCTACGAACCTACCGTGAACCAATCTATGCGGTCAAAGAGGCCATCACTCTCTTTGACTTAGCATAGACCCTGCCGAACCCGAATCCATAAAGGCTAAGGGCCAGCCAACTGCGGAGTAAACCACAGCCAATAAACCGCAGCCGTTGTTGGAGTCCAGCAAACCTGTCGTGTTCACTCAGCCGCGTTCGTCTGTCGACTTGTACTCTCGGTTCCGTGGAAGTTGTGCGCATACGAGTGCGCCAGAACCCGGCAATCTGAAGGTATAAGAGTCAGCTGGATACCACAGGGTTTACGTGACATCTCCAGAACTTACCTTCATAAAGAAGATCGAAGGATGAGAGTTACAGTCGATCAGCGGCAGCGGCCGGCGCAGGCTAGAACGCCGAAGGTTGCGAGTCGCACTGATCCTGCGGATGTGAGTGCGACTGAAGAGGAAGAAAAGTAAACAAAGTGGAAGGTAATATTCGAAAGGACGTGGAGGGGCGCTAGACTGGCGCTTGGACCAGCCGAAGCTCTGATGACGGTCGCAAAAGATAGTGAATGGTGAATTTGCGTGGTCACATAGCCCAAGTCTTCCCTGCATGGTTTAGGCTACAGGCCCACGTTCAGGGAGATATGGCGTGTCAGGCAGGATGCAAGAGGAACTAGAATGGGGGGAGGTTCGAACGCATCGGAGCCATCCGGCTTTCCAGTACGAGACTAAGACGTGTATAAGCGCCCCATCGTGAATCTGAACGTCGATAGACTGTAGGCAGTCACATGGGTTTGGACCGACTCCAGACCTTCATTTCGATACCACTACGTCACTGCAAACGCGATAGGCTCCCGTTACAGCACCGCAAAGAACACTGTCCTCGTCCCACAACTACTCTTTAGCGCCTCCTCCGATTGATACCACACGATCGTTTTACCGTTGCTCCTCTCTAATCATACCCAATTCCCAATACCCAACTCTTCCTCGTAAGTCCTTTTGTAAGCACGAAGTGAAGCGACGAAACTGACATACAGATAAAAGTGAACACAATGTCCTCATCGGGATATGACCTAGGACCTGCGGTGAATGGTGGTCAAGGCGATGGAACCTCCGACCTGGGGGATACCACGGCAACCGTGATGTCTCGTCTCGATGTCGCCCTCAAGGACATGCCGGGAGTCACGACCCTGGACAAGGTGAATGCTCTTATGAGCAAGGTCGCTGCCGCCAAGGAACTGCTGGGGGGCTTGGAGCCAGATCTACTACTACAAGCTCGCAGCAAGGTCGATGAACCCGACCGCGAGTTATACAAGAGCCCAGCCCTGCTAAAGGCTTACGAGCAGATCTCCAAGAACACACAGGGTACGTTGACGAGATCGAAGAAGATACAAACTCTAATGTCAACAGCAGACGCACCCGAGGATGAGTTTGAGGTTGCGATGATGGCTGCGTTTACGGCTTGCGAGGAATCTGAGACATCCCAAGAGGGTACACATCCACAAGAGCCAACTCTTCAAGACACCCATCGTATCTTGCAGCAGCCTCAAGCCCAGTATGTCATATTTTCAGCAGCCTCATGATGTCAGGTAGTCACTAACGTCGATATAGAGTTGTTCCACGCCCCAAATATACGCCTTCTTATCGGACATGGTGCGAGCGAGAGAACGCCGCAAATGCTGAGAACAAAACCAGGAAGGCTCACAAGCCCTGTGACCGTAAAAACTGTCCCTTCTTCCACGAGGATCAAAACAAGTACTTCAATAGCCCCTCCTACACGGCCGACAGGAACGCCGAAGATGTCGACAATTGGGAAGAGCTGCCGAGGTTCGCAGGTCGCAAGGGAGCCAACGTGCGCGAAGAGAAGGCCGGGAAAAACGACCGCAACTTCGATGCATTCTTCAAGCGAATTAGGGGCAAGGGCAAGGCGACGGAGAAAAAGGCCGACGAAGAACGCGCCCAGAAGAAGAAGAAGTCTGCTCTGGAGGTCAAGGCTGCTCCTAAGACTGCACACAAGTCCACCAAGGCTGCCACGGACGCTGAGGCTACTGTCAAGGCACCGCCCAAGAAGCGTAAGGTCGCGGCTACCACGGGAGGAGCGAAGGGAACTGCGGAGCAACCAGCGAAGAGGAGCAAAGGTGGCGAGGCTGACCGCTAGATGTATTCATGGCGCTCTTCTGGAGTATGTCTGGTCGCCTGCCCTGCAAGGACCTAACGATTTTCATGACCTGGGTTTGAAGATTTAGTACATCACAGGAGCCAAGATAAGGGATATCAGTATGAGTAACTCAATAAATTCCTGTATGTCCATACTCCCAGCGCAATGCAAATGTCTTTCCAGTCCCTACCATACCATGCCATGCCATACCTAACCTGATGCACCACCCTAGCCGCTATGGGAACGAACAAAGGTCCAACCGGAACCAAAAGTAAAGGGCTAAATTATGGATACATAGAAGAGAGATCAAAGGAATGTATTTGGACTCGCAAAGCGCAATCCACCTCCAAGCTAAAACCAGAAAAGCGCTGAAAGTCACTGGGGACGGAGGCTGGGTCCTCCAAAAGCTGGGCAATGCAGAAGAAGAAAACAAGTCGTGATACAAACACCATCGCTGAAGCGCAAGGTCAAGGAAGGGCGCTCAAAATCACTCGCTGTGAGAGCATGCGAACAGCCGGTTCGGAGGAGGCGGTGTGTGGTGGTTTGCAGATCGAAAAAGGAATTCGTGAACGGCTGTGGAGCCGAAAGAAAAAAAAAGGCAACGCGTTTGCTGATGTCGCGATTGCCGGGACGGGACAAGTCTATTGTGTCGTGAACTCGTTTTTAGTGGGTATCAGTTTCTTTTGGGCGATATTGCTGGGGCCACACGGTTGTGCTGGCCCCTCTGGTTCGGGCAATGTTGTGATACAGGATAGGACATGCTATAGGAGACTCCAGAACGGTAGGGCTCTGCGGTCGTAACGTCCCCAAGGCTTTGTTGATACAGGTAATGGATTCCCCCTCTTTTCTATTTTCTCTGCAAAGTCGAGCTTCTTCTTGCGCTCGATATCCGGGTCGTAGTAATGGGTTGCCGTGACAGGGACCTTGAACTCTTGCGTGCTGAGAGGCAGTGTGTACTTGAAGTTGCCTCGCACTATTAATTCGAAGGGATACTGCAGAACTTCTTCCCAACGTTCACTGCCACCAGCTTCGGTCTTGTTTCCGGGGTGCGAAAGTCGGAGCTCGCCAATGGATTCGGCGCGGTGTCGCTGGAAAAAGGAACCTTCAAAGTTTAATGGCGAATCGAAGTGGGCGATGCGGCCTAGCAACATGGTCCGTGGTTCGCCCTCGATAGGATCGGTTCCTTCGTCTACACCGGTAATCGAGACCTCTGGAACTGCGTCTTCCTCAATCGGTCTCCAATCTTCTACATTGTCATGTGGGCCATTCCCGTGCTCGCGCCACCAACTGTCCGACCCGACATGCTTGCTCTTAGCAAACAGCGAAATGTCCATGTCGGATACAGTGACGCCGATAATGTTGGGATTGACAGCGTTGACTATGAGATCCAGCATGATCTCCTCTTGACTTGCAACGACGTTTTGAATATCTCGCACTACAAGGCTAGTGAGCGGCTTCGTAGTTGCGAAGACGAGCCCAACAGCGCAGAATACGACGACGAGCAGCAGGATCGACAGAACTAGGCAGCCAGCGAACCGACGACACCACCCACCATCACGGTGATGCCGGCGCTCTAGCTGGCGTATAGTGGCAGTGTTGCGCTGGCGAGGCGTCCGGGCTCGTGGGCTCCGCCCAGACTGGATTAGAGGTGTGCGCTCATCATCGGCGATGTTCTCGGCGTCGATGTCGTATGCTGTAGAGAACTCCCCACTTTTCTTGCTGCCGTTGCTGTGACCATTGCCAACATTGAAAGTATGGAAGCGAGGGCTGTTCGGTTGCGACGTGTGTCTGGAGGACGGGCCACGTGCGCGCGAGGATTGTGGTACCGAGTTGTCGCTGTCCATGGTGATGTGGCTGAGCGCGCCCCGACCCTGGCCATGTCTTCCAATGTGGTGATGGTGGCTGCCTCCGCCCGCTCGTCCGGAGCCGATGCGGACAGTACCCTCACCGCGGTCATCGCCATCAATGCTCGCGTTGGTGTATGGGTTCGTGAATTTGATGCTGCTCTTCTTGCTTGGGTGCTTGTGCGTGTCGCGGATCTGGAGTCGTGGGTCTGTGAGGCTGGCTAGCGACGTCATGCTTGGCGTTCGCGAGTGGTGCTGGCGGCTGCGAGTTGGCTGCTCGGGAGGATTCGATTCGTAGATAAAGGTAGCATCCGAGTCAGACGAGTCGGCCTCGTCGACGGCGCTGGCCACCTTTTGTTCGAATACATCTGCTTTGGATGAAGCTGTACGATAACTTGAGTTAGTGCTTGAATAAAAATAGCTGAGATGGAGAGGGCGGGGAGGAGCCATGCTCAACGCTGGACTTGGGGGTGACAAGGTCAACAAAGACGGCCGGTCGTCATATGAGCGGTATGAGAGGGGGCTGCCGAATGAGATGTTCACGCCGGAGCGAGAGCCGTACTCGGACCGGCTTGGGATGTAGTAATGGTACGAGATGTGTTGCAACCTACCAGTGCCTGCATTGATGGATGCGGCCTTCCGTTTGGGGGCCTTCTTCTGGTTCTTGGGACGAATTGTCTCGTTACTGGGCTTGAGCCGTATGCCGCCGTCGACGCGACCCGAGGCGGATCTGTCCTGGTTTACAATCGATGGCTGCGCGACAGAGGGCACGGTTTCGGTCTCGACCGTCATGTTGCGGAGGGGCGGGTCTCGCGATCGCGTCGACATGGAGGACAGGGAGGGTTTGGCCGAGACGGTGTGTGGGCGATGGGTGTAGGCAGAGCGCTGTTCCTGCATCTTGCCCTTCTTGGCGCTCTTGGTCGCGCTGTCGCTCCCGCTCTCAGTGTGCTTGGACGTGTCGTGCTTGGTGCTGAGGTCTTCGGTGACTTTGGACGAATTGACGTCATTTCGGTCCTGGTCGGTTTTGTGGGAAGTCGCTGGGGGAACAAAGCTAAGAGCGAGGTTAACAAAGTTTGCGGATGGCAGCGGAAATTGGCTCCGTCGATAGTCTAACGTGCGTCGCGATGACAAACAGTGGGGCCGTTGCGGGGAAAGCGTACCTTTGCGGCTCTAGACCATCAAATCCGGGAGTGGCAGGCAAGCTAGATTCTTGCACCGTTGCCAGCTTGGGAGCCACGCCGCCGGAATTGCGCGAGGGCGCCTTGATGGTTTGCTGAGGCTGTGTCTGTGGCTGGGCCGGTGGCTCGTCGACGTCGCTCACGGGCACGTCTTCTCTTACTGGGAAGCGAGAGACTGAGGCTGGGGACGAGCTCTGGACAACGATAGCGGGCGTCGACTGGGCCTCGGGCTTCTTGATCTGCGAACGCAGCGAGTTGGTGCGCGAACGAGAGCGGCCGTCATCGCCCGGCGGTGGTGACTTGAGGCGCGGTGAGAGGGGCCAATGGGGTGTCGTGTCGCCTGAATTCGGTTTTGACGATGGCTTGGAAGCGCGTGTGGCTCGCACCGTGTCGGTCGACGATGTTGGGGTGAGCTCTGGTATGCTGGTGGAGGACAGAGCACGCTGCACGCCCGGGGCAGCAGTCGAGTTGGACAGACTGGAGCCGCGGCTGGGACTCGCATCGGCGCTGCTCTTGCGTGAGCGGAAGCCCGGCCGCACACTGGCACCGGACGGCGTGGCACTGCGGTGGTGAGGGCCGGCGGGCGAGGCTTCTCGCGACGAGCGCGGCGAGGGCGAGCCGTTGACGCTGAAGGGCGGGCGCTGGGCAGCCAGCGGGTGTTGACGCATGGGAGCCGACATGTCGGGGGCGGTGGTGCTGCTCGTGGGGTCGTCGCGGGCAGGCGTTGACGTAGTGGGCTCAGCACTCTCTGCCACGCCGGTCAAGGACTGGAAGCCGTCGAGGTCGTCGGCAGTGGATGCAGTCGGAGGCATCATCATGGACGTGCTTTTGCTTCAATGGGCCGCAGCACTCGTGGCATCCTCCGCGGGCTCCGGCGCGTCTTCGCTGGTTGGGGCCTGGACAGCAGGCAGGTCCGGGTGCGAATGGGCGGTAAGTAGATGAGGCTGCTGTAATGAGTACGCGGCGCGCGGCCGTTGGACAGGGCCGTGGGCGGGGAGTGAGCTGTCGCTGTCGGTACAGGGGGGCTGTGGCGCGCAGACTGCGTGGGCATTTGAACGCGCTGCAGTCGACTATGGACGAGGTTTAACGTTGTGAAGACGGACACGTCCAGCGCTGCCTGGTTGCATCCGGCCAGCCCTGGACGGGAACGCTGACGCACCCGAGGCGCATTTCAGGCACGAACCGACGCCTGCCAGCGCATCGCACAAAGACCTGCTCTCTCCCGCACACGGCGAATCCCTCTCCCATCGCATCGTCAGCTGCGGCCTGCCGTCTTATGGAGTGGCTTCAACTTTCTCCACGCCCTGCACACCTTGTCTTGTGATAACGATTGATCGCCAGCTGCGCTAGCTTCCCTCTGGGGGTTTGCGCACCACACCTACATGCCCGGCATGTCGGCACTCGCGCAGAAGCAATTCTCATGCACATCCTGCAAATCGCAAGTGAACACCCCACGGACTTCATCCCACTTTCATGAGCAGGTTCTTGTCTGCCGCGTCGACGCTTTAGGGTCGGCACGGTCTCACCTCAGACGGGTGCAGTCACTCGGTCATCGCACTTGTAGTCTGCTGCAGGTTTCCTGATTTCAATGTGCATCGTAGCCCTTTAACCGGCCGAAACATCACTGAGACGCTGTTACCACGGGAGGAGCGCGTTGCCAAAACTGTAAATCAAAGAGGCGCAGTACTGTCCAATGTAACGTGACAGACGGCTCTCGATCACAATCCGATCCTGACGTCGCGCCAGCCCTCGGAATCGACTGACGTCTCTTACGTCGAGTACACCAGCAGCAGACACCTAGCAGCTCCTTCACAAACTTACGCAGAGTCACCAAGGTAGAAAAGTGACAAAGACACGTGGCAGCGATTCCTTTCAATACGGCGTCTCCAGTAAACAACACGTTGCGCTCCTTCCATACCGTCCAAGATCCGAGCTTCGCCCGGACATCTAATGCTCCGAACCTCCGCTGATAAGATTATCTTTGCATCTAATCTGATCGAATTTTCCGCGCTAGCACCTTCACGAACACCACCACTCCACTTTACGCATCCTCAATACTACTTCAAGTATCGATGTTCCGGGACCAAGCACTGCCAAGTATTTGAAACCGCCTTGGTAGCCTTGTCATAGGTGCGAAATGTAGAAGGCGGTTCCAGTGTTATGGTCCTGGAGGGTCGGCAGTGGCCTGATGGTGGCCTCAAGACTGCGGCTCTGTGGATTTATACGAGTGGTGAACGGGTAGAATAGGGTTCTGGAAGTTTCAAAGAGTATAAGAACGCATTGTAAGATACAGTGATTGGGTGTAGTAGGCCTCTTCGTTGATCCTTTCTTCTCCTTTCTGACCGGATTGCGCTATCGCTTCGGTGTCAGACAGCATGCAGTTCCTCTCTCGTCCCAAAAACCAGGTTACCGACACTGTCGAGCCCGCCGGTATGTCTCATCAGGCGGCCGATACAGAGAAGGGCGTACACAACGATGCATCTCACGACAAAGCTACCGATCAAGAAAGCCTTTCGAGCAATGCCCAAGCTGGTGTCAAAGCCGTCGAGGCAGCGGCAACAGTGTGGACGAAATATCATCTCATCGGCGCCTATGTCATGTTGGTACCGCCCCTCCACCTGTATGCCTCGACTAACATGTATCCAGCATTTGGTGGATCTACTTCGTTACCGCCCTTCAAGAAGTCGTCATTCGCGCCATGAACCCATACGTAACCAGCGCCTTCCGCCTTCACTCCCTCACCGCCGCCACGGGAATCATGTCCTCCATAATCGGCGGATTGTCCAAGATCCCCTTGGCGAAACTATTAGATATGTGGGGACGGCCTCAAGGACTTCTGCTCTCACTATGCGTATGGATGGTGGGATACATCATGATGGCTTCGTGTAAGAATGTAGAGACGTATGCTGCGGCTCAGGTGTTCTCCTCTACCGGGTAAGCATCATCTCTTGTCAGACAAGGTTGGAAAGAACATCGCTAACAAGACGTCAGATCACAAGCAGTGTCCTACATCCTAACCGTCTTTATCGCCGACACCTCGACGCTCAAGAACCGCGCTCTCATGCTCTCCTTCGCAACCTCGCCCTACATAATCACAACCTGGATCGGCGGCCCCGTCGCACAATCTGTGCTGTCTGGGCCAGGCTGGCGCTGGGCCTTCGGCATCTTCACCATCATCATCCCCGTCGTCGTCACACCTCTCGCTGCGTTAGTTCTTTTCAACGACAGGAAAGCGCGGAAGCAGGGTCTACTTGAGCCACGCAGCATCGACTGGAGTGCTACAGCCATCAAGAAGTTCTGCGTCGATATCGATGCTGTTGGTATCCTGATTCTGGTAGCAGGCATGGCTCTGTTCTTGCTGCCGTTCAGCTTGTACAGTTACCAAGCGGAAAAGTGGAAGAGCCCTATGATCATCGGCATGATAGTCGCTGGCTTCATTCTGCTTATCGCATTTCCTATCTGGGAAAGATTCTTCGCACCCGTCACGTTCATCCCGTACAAACTGCTCTTGGACCGTACGGTGTTCCTCGCAGGCATCATGTTCGTCTTTGTCTACTTCAACAGCGCGGTTTGGGGGAGCTACTTCGGATCCATGCTACAGGTGGTCTGGAACCTCAACGTAACTACCGCTAGTTACGTGCAGAGTATCTACCGCGTTGTATCCTGCTTCTGGTGCTTGGCGGCTGTTGGACCGGCAATCAGGATCACCGGGCGCTTCAAGTGGGTTGCGGTCTTCTTCGCACTGCCAATTGACATCCTGGCTCTGGGACTCATGATCCACTTCCGACAGCCAGGAACCTCAGTGGGTTTCATCGTGATGACGCAGATCTTCACTGCAGTCGCGGGAGGCACGATCGTCATCGCCGGCGAGCTGGCTATGATGGCGCCGTCCGACCATCAGCACATGGCCGTCATCATTGCTGTTCTCAACCTTTTCTGCTCTATCGGCAGTGCGGTCGGAAGTACAGTCTCGGCAGCTATCTGGACTGGAACCTTCTACAACAACCTCGTCAAGAACGTTCCGGCTGGTGTCAATGTCGCTGATATCTATGCCTCGCTACCCAACCAGCTGTCGTACGAGTGGGGATCGCCTGAGAGGACTGGTATCGCGCAGTCCTATGCTGATTCGCAACGGCTCATGCTCATCACGAGTATTTGCATGCTGGGATGCGCGCTTATCGCCGCTGCGGGATGGCGCGACATCAACGTTAAGAATATCAAGCAGGTCAAGGGTCGCGTTGTGTAAAGGTCGTTCGCCTCGACGTGCATTGCAAGTTCAATGATAGGCGCACGCCAACCTAGGAAAAGTCTAAACAGCCTAGGGTCTACGTTAACGTTGGGTCACCTACTTTGCAAGTCGTTGGTTTAATGTAGTCTGCAGACCTGTTTAGATTTTTCCTTGTATGAGGTGGGAGCAACGTTCAGTCACGAATTTGAGAGTGTTCAGCAGCCGCATTCAGATGCACCACAATGCAATGTCATTATAAATTCCGTACCCAATCTCTGACTTCTCAAGGAATACAGGCTCTTATGCTGCTATTCAACACCTAGTGATTAGTGTTCGGGCTCTACCCACCGTATTAGATGATGGAGGTTCCACCACCGACTCAGACCTAATCGCCGCTGCCGCCCGAAGACCCCGCCATACAAATTTTCGCCGCCTCACCAGCATTTGCTAGCAGCCACCAGCAAGCGTGAGCGATTTGCACCTTTACATACCGTCGTCATGCACACGCAAAATTAGGATATAAATGTTCAAACTTTGAGGTTTGCCATCAACCACCTACTCAACTATCAAGTTGATCAATCTTCAGTAGTATAGTGGTCAGTATTTCCGCTTGTCATCTTGCAAAAGACAACTCGCGGGAGACCGGGGTTCAATTCCCCGCTGGAGAGCTTCTTTTTTGCTGTTCTTGCATGGCTGATAGTGGTTGCTGTGCTGGATGAGTTGTGCCCGAGCGTGCTTAAATTCATTGTTTTTGCAGGCAGCGGAAGCGTGTGAAAGTGGATAGTATTCGAACAGCTTGATGATGCGTTAAAAACGCACGTAAAATGTGGGATGTTGTCTTGTTGGCAAAGTGTTTGGTTTGTCGGGTCCGCATTCTTGTCAAGGTACCCCTCAGCATTTCGCAAGATGGGAGACGCAGAGCACTAGCCACACACTTTTCCAATGCTGCTATTGACAAGCGATCAAGTGCGCTCTTCAGACTTCACATGTGCTTCTTCAACCCAAGATTGTGTAGATGCAGCCTAAGAGTTATCGAGGCGTGTAAGCCCCGCGGCTGCGCGATCTCGCGGGAAGTGCCACGCCTACATAGCCGCTTGCACAGCAAGTCCCCAACCATTAACTATGCGACTGCTTGACTACACGGCAACCCAGAAGATACACATGGCCGCTTTAGCAAAATAGCATTCTTTTGCAGGTCTAGACATATCCACTTCAGTGCGATGGCGCCGCTTTGGGGTAGTCAACTATCGCCAATCTCCAAAGGAACCGGCCCTGCTGCGTACCCAAGTCGCGCAGCAATCACCACCAACTCTTCCCATCGAGCAAAGGGACGTACTCATGCAGCGTCTCATTCCTTCTGCAGATACAAAGTATGCAGAAGACGAATATCAAAGTAAATTCATAAGCTGTTAAACTTCGACCGGCGACATGAACGTTCGCGTTGCTCTTTTCGTAGGCTTCCGACATAACGGTTTTCGTACTCGGCTTTCGGACACCAGCGAACATCAGAGTTAATATAGTTTTGGAAATTGAGTCGAACCGAATGCTATCAGCTGGGGAAGGGCCGCAGGAGCGGGCAGCATTAGT